AAAGTCCAGCTTGTTTTTCATCATTGCACTACATGTAAATACACCCTTCAGCCAGTATATCTCAGCTTTTCTGTTCAACGCACATTTCACAAATGAATTTGTTTTATTCAAAGATCTTGAGGACTGTTGGTTTAACTTTTGTACAATGTACAACGTTTGTCATATCAGCTGGTTGTTTGTTTATCCTGAATTTGGTTTTGTTTCATACACCTTGCAAGTTTTCCCCGCTTTTTTTTTTCCAGAAAGATGTAGCCTGTCCTTCCAAACTCACACAGTTTGCTGATGACACTTTTATTTTTGTTTTACACATCAGCTCCAACTTGTTTTCCCTCTGTTATTGTTTTTATATTCAACCACCCAGCTGTAACATTTAGTTTTTTACTTTTTTCATACATGTTTGTAACTTTTTAAATGGCATTTTGTTGGGTTTTTTTAATCGTTGCATGAAATCCTATATTTGGACCTCCAGCTCCAATCTTTTTTCTTTTTCCTCCCTAAAATTAAGAAAAGATAATTTTGCACTCATCTGAGAAATGCAGTAAAACAGTTTTTTTTGGTTTGTTTTTTACCAAGAAAATATAGAGGCCGTTTTGATCCTGAAGAAGCGAGTGGTTTGATCCGGACTTTACCTGCTCTTATTCCAGGGTATTTCTGTATATATTACTGTGTGATTACCACGTGAATCCTCGTTGTACTCAAAGTACAAACACCAGGAATAAAATCAGTGTGACGTCTCCTTTGTTCTTTGCTTCTTGTAGGTCATGATCCCGTTTCTGTCCTCATGTAGACGATCATTAACCAAGGCAATGTTTTTTATGCTCCCAACACTTTAGCTAGCAATATGTATATAAATATATTCTATGTGCTAACATGGGGGAAATAAATGTATCAACAAGACTGTGTGATTCGGTTCTCCTTATTCATTGATGGATGGATGGACCTTTGAGGTTCTGGTTAATCTGATGTTGCTGTGAATGATGTTGGACCGAGAAGATTCGCCGTATGGAACTGAAAAGTCCAGAGAGATCTGGAAACCTGATCTCTGGTAATCTGCTATAGAAAGTGTCACAGCTCAAACTTCTTTTGCAGCAAGGTGGAAAAGCTTTAGGCTAAGATGGATGAGCTCAGTTTAGTGATCAAACACTTATACAGGCAATTGCCTCTGATATGGTCAATAAATCAAGCCCTATTTCATCAGATAACCATTAGTAGTCTCAATTGGCACATTCATTCTTAGGATTTTTTTCATGTTATATAATAGGTGCCCTGTAAATGCTTACAGGTTTGTTGAACATTAATATATATTTTTTCTTTTTGATAAAGCTTACAGTTGGGTATACTGAGCTCTCTCCTTAGTTGTGCTGCTATAGGCTTAGACTGCTGGAGGACATAGGGACACCTTTTTCATCATTCTGCTTCATGCCGTCTCTGCTTTTTCCTCATCATAGTAGCTTCATCTGGTCTGTTTCTTCTTGGCTGTGACTCCATCCTGAAGAGAAATATCAGCTGTGCTGCTGCCATCAGCACCTTTGTTTATAGATGTTGGAGATCGGCCTGTTTTTTTCAATATAGTCCTGTTTCTTTGACTGTGACTAACTGTACAGGTGTTGGTCATAAAATTAGAATATCATGAAAAAGTAGATTGATTTCAGTAATTCCATTTAAAAAGTGAAACTTGTATATTATATTCATACATTACATACAAACTCATATATTTCAGATGTTTATTTTGTTTAATTTTGATGATTACAAATGACAACAAATGAAAATCTCAAATTCATCATATCAGAAAATTAGAATATTGTGAAAAGGTTCAAAATTGATGGCCCCTGGTGCCACACTCTAATCAGCTAATTAACTCAAACCACCTGCAAAAGCCTTTAAATGGTCTTTCAGTCTAGTTCTATAGGCTACACAATCATGGGGAAGACTGCTGACTTGACAGTTGTCCAAAAGACGACCATCGACACCTGGCACAAGGAGGGCAAGACACAAAAGGTCATCACTAAAGAGGCTGGCTGTTCACAGAGCTCAGTGTCCAAGCACATTAATAGAGAGGCGAAGGGAAGGAAAAGATGTGGTCGAAAAAAGTGTACAAGCAAGAGATAACCGCACCCTGGAGAGGATTGTGAAACAAAACCCATTCAAAAATGTGGGGGAGATTCACAAAGAGTGGACTGCAGCTGGAGTGAGTGCTTCAAGAACCACCACACACAGACGTATGAAAGACATGGGTTTCTGCTGTCGCATTCCTTGTGTCAAGCCACTCTTGAACCACAGACAGCGTCAGAAGCGTCTTGCCTGGGCTAAAGAGAAACAGGACTGGACTGCTGGTGAGTGGTCCAAAGTCATGTTCTCTGATGAAAGTAAATTTTGCATTTCCTTTGGAAATCAAGGTCCCAGAGTCTGGAGGAAAAGAAGAGAGGCACTTCATCCACGTTGCTTGAAGTCCAGTGTAAAGTTTCCACAGTCAGTGATGGTTTGGGGTGCCATGTCATCTGCTGGTGTTGGTCCATTGTGTTTTCTGAGGTCCAGGGTCAACGCAGCCACATACCAGGAAGTTTTAGAGCACTTCATGCTTCCTGCAGCTGACCAACTTTTTGGAGATGCAGATTTCATTTTCCAACAGGACTTGGCACCTGCACACAGTGCCAAAGCTACCAGTACCTGGTTGAAGGACCATGGTATCCCTGTTCTTAATTGGCCAGCAAACTCTCCTGACCTTAACCCCATAGAAAATCTATGGGGTATTGTGAAGAAGAAGATGCAATACACCAGACCCAACAATTCAGAAGAGCTAAAAGCCACTATTAGAGCAACCTGGGCTATCATAACACCTGAGCAGTGCCACAGACTGATCGACTCCATGCCACGCCGCATTGCTGCAGTAATACAGGCCAAAGGAGGCCCAACTAAATACTGAGTGCTGTACATGCTCATACTTTTCATGTTCATACTTTTCAGTTGGCCAACATTTCTATAAATCCTTTGTTTTTATTGGTCTTCAGTAATATTCTAATTTTCTGATATGATGAATTTGAGATTTTCATTTGTTGTCATTTGTAATCATCAAAATTAAACAAAATAAACATCTGAAATATATGAGTTTGTATGTAATGTATGAATATAATATACAAGTTTCACTTTTTAAATGGAATTACTGAAATCAATCTACTTTTTCATGATATTCTAATTTTATGACCAGCACCTGTATGTGCTGTTGTATCCTCTGACATGGGAGCTCGTCTGCCTGGCTGTGTGTTTCCTGGACGACAGTTGCCTTTTTTTTAAATTTTTAATTTTTTAAAATCTTTTTATGTCCTCTTTATCTCCTTCAACCCCAATCAACCTCAGCAGATGGCCGCTCACACAGCCTGGTTCTGCTGGAGGTTTCTTCCTGTTAAAATGGAGTTTTCCTCTTCACTGTCACTACAAGCATGCTTGGTGTGAGGGATTGCTTTCGAGTTAATGCAATCGGCTGGTTTTCTTTAGGTAGGAAACTTTGAGCCAATCGAACTCCATGATCTGGTTGAATTGTCTCTTTAAAGTGCAGTTTATCTATATAAATAAACCAAATTAATTAAAGGTACCTTTAAGACTACATTTCCACATTAATAAATAAGTGACATGTAATTCTTTGTCAAAATTTTTGAATTGTTTATTTAAATGAAAGACATGACATCAACACAATTTAAAACTTAGAAAAAAACTTGACATTTTCCTTTTTAGAAAAAGAGGAACAGTGAAGAAAGTGCTTTATTTGTTAAAAAAAAAATAAGGATCCTCGTAGGTTGAAAATTTAACATTCTCTGTAACTCTTCAATGGGTTAAAGGGTCTCTGATAAAACAATTTGTTTCTATCAATGACATCACTTTGTGAGCCCTGAATCATGCATTCCTATGGAGGGGCTTCTCTCTCATATTTACTGCTGAAGGGCGTCTCCAGGTGAAATCGGTAAGATGGGAGTCCAGTAAAGAAGATCTGTGCTGCTGCTGGTCTGGCAGAAGGGACCAGTTTCATTCCAATGAACATAGGAAGGAAATATTTTAAACATGTTACATTTAGAAGTTAAGAAAATATGTCTGTTCCCTTTACAATGAGCTGCAGTCCTGGTAGAGACATGTTTTATCCTCATTTTCCACTGCAGATGTAAAATGTACAGCCTGTTGGGACTTTTTGAACATTCATATAAGCTGTTATAATTAGCACATTAAATGAAGACATATTCTTTAGCCAAGGAGTCAAGATAAACAATCAGGAAATGGTTAAAACAACAGTAGATAAATAAGCCCATGTTTACTGTAAATGCTAGGTGGGGATCAAGAAGTCTCCTTTTTTGGAGGAATTCAAGCTTTTTCTGTCCTTCCATCACAAACATAAACATGACAGAAATTCACCTGAAAACGTCTGCTTTGGTAAACTTAAAAAAAAAACATCACTTGAAATGAAAATCTGGTATGTCTATTTAAAAAACAAAAAGGGTGATTTAAAAGAACCTGTGGCCAAAAACATATTTCTCAGACCTAAAATCGGTAAAGAGTTAGAAGATCCATGAATACATGAATATAAAAGCAGTTATACTTTAAAACTGCTTATATACCTACTGATCCCCTTGGGTTATTAACTTGAGCTTAAAGTTATAGTCTTAATGTCTAAAACTTGTTTTTTTAGCCCAATAGGTTCAATTTATGAGACGCTGATGTTTGAATCTATGTATCATTCAGGGCATTTAACAGGCTTCTATCGATTTCACTTGGACTTTATTTCCAATGCGCAGGACTAAAGGGTGTATATTTTGTTCTAAGTTGGAATAAAACTTTATAAAAATATTTAAACTGGACACATTTCAGACCAAAAAGCAGACAAACAGCATCTTAAATCAACCTGCTTTTCACTGAGACATTACTCTTCATCTTCAATATAATCTATCATCATATATTTGTCTTTTTTTTTTTGATAATATGTTTAATGTGAATCTGTTTCACTCGAGATAATACACTTTTTTTATATTAGCTAATATTCAAGAGCCAAAACATTCTTGAATCATAAACTTCTAAAAGAGAAAATAAATTAAATCGGTTTATTTTTGTACATACTTACATGATAGGAGCTGTTTATGGAAAAATAAACAGAGTCAAAGGCTGCAGCTGTGTGGATGTGAGCACCTGGTGAAATGGACCAGCTGGTAGATTTTTAAAAAAATCCAACGCTAAATCAAAGTACCTCATGATAAAACAAAAGGGTCAGCTGTGATTAGCTGTCCTTAGACCCCGCCCTTGGTATCAAACATATCCCGCTCTTTGCTATGGTCGTAAAAACACAAAATATTTTTTTTTTTTGTGTAAATATCATCTTCAAAAAAATAGCCTTGACTTTTCCAACATTTAGAGATAAAACAGGAAACTATAGAGTGAGCCAGATGTTGCTGTGGAGCCAAAACCTTTCTGACGTCAGCCATATTGTGCCCTGATAGGATCCAGCTTCCCTTTCCTTCAGACAAACCAGGACCTCATGGTGAGGAACCGAAACCCGACTGGAGTATAGCGCTGCCTGAAAGACGAAACACAGGGCTAATTTGGCCCACATGGCCTTCAGTTTTTCCTCACTGTCCTGGATAGGTCTATTTGCGTCCACTGGGGGGCGCTACATGTTGTAGGCCACATAAATGGGGTCCAGCTGGTCGGCCAGGAAGCCGTCGCGTAGATGCATGCGCTGCTTCTCGCCGCGGGAGTTGATGGGGATGACTCCGATGTCGACGACGACCACCACCCCGACGATCAGGTAGTGCTCCTCCAGAACCACGTTGGTGACGAGCGGAACCAGGTCCAAGGCCTCATGCTCGGAGCCGTCGAGCTCCACCACGACTACCAGCAGGTTGGTCCACGTGAAGACTGCGCTGGAAACACAACAGCACAGCATGAGAGCGGTTTAGAAGGGCAAAGGTCAGACCGGGTGTTAGGAACTTGGGTCTGAGATGCTGGGTTCAGCCCCTGGTCCCAAACCTTGTAGAATCTCTAAACCAGTGAACATTAATTCAGTTCATTATAGTTCTTCTCTGCACAGACATCTCCGGATCCAACCTGAACATTTAAATCAGCCTGAGATCAGGGCTTTGACTAGGCCATTGCAATACCTGGGTTATTTTCTTTCTAAGCCACACTGATAACCCCCTTTGGACCAAACTGTCTCACATTTGTCTTTTGAAAACTGTTTTACAGAACAGGTCCAGCTAATCTCTATGACTGGATAATGACATTTAGACCAAAACACCTACCGTAATTGTAAATATGTGCAATATTAGAAGCTAGTCTATGCTAATTGTTTCCTGACTAATTCACCTAAATCATGTTTTTCTCATTTTAAAAAGCAGCAGAGAGTAATGGCTGTTCTGTTTCAAGTGTCGTTTATGACATCCAATTATCAGCCTTCCACCACCATGCCTGATAGTGGATATGAGATGCCTCAATTCGTTGTTTGCTTTGTACGAAACCAGGCACTGTGCTGCAATATCAAAGATCTCCTGAAAGGACTTTGGTGCATAGAGATGTACCTCTGCAAATCTGAGCTCTGCTGCGGGGACCACCTAATTATTATTGTATGAAATTGTGTTATATCAAACAGGTCCTATAGTCACTCTATTACAGATGGAGTAATGTAGCGAAAGTAATTTCTCCCTGGGATTATTAAAGTATTTCTGATTCTGATTCCTTGTTGATGGGACAGGTGTTGTGAATGAAATGGTGCCCAGCTTGAAAGAGCTCCTGTGTGTCGCTGAATGTGTGCATTGATGACTGAAGGACATCTTCTGCCTCCATTTATCTGTTTACTACAGTCTGTTGAATTCATGTTAATGTGGATTTAAAGACATTTCAATTAGTAGGAAAAATTTCAGGGGCGAATAAAAAAAAATCTAATCAACAAAAACGACCCCCACACAGTACCTCCGTGGCCCCATAGGGGTCGCGTACCCCTGTTGAAGACCTCCGGTTTAGATACATGAATACATTTATAAATTATGTTTTTTTTTTTGTTTTTTTTATTCGTAACCACAGGATCTGTATAAAAAATCCAGGAGTTAAACTCTTGTCTGGTTTATACTTGGCATATTGAACTATGCACAAGGGGCTGAACGCCAATGATTAGAGCATGTACAGCATAGTGTAATGTCATATATAGATCCACATCAACTAGAGTTCAGATTTTATAGTTTTATATTCTTTACAAAGAGGTCTATAGTTTTACTTTCCTTTCTTCTCTCTCTCACGGGTTATGAGGTGTACTGCAGAGGTAGGTAGTTACTAGTTACAGTTTCTAGAGTAAAATGTCTGGCTGCCCGACCCATCATGGCAAACTTCCCTCAATGAGGAACAGGCTTGTTTTAAACAAAAAGACACCAGAAATACAAACGCTGACAGTTAATGTCTGAGTAATTCTTCTGCTTTTACTCAAGATTCTTTTTGTTATTTTCTCTTTGCTGATCCTGCTGTCATTTGGAGGCCGAGTAGAAATACTTCAGCTTACTGTATGGTGTTTCTGGAATTAACTTACACTAATCTAACCTACCTACTGAAATTATTGTGTAATTACTGAATTTATATCTTTTATATTGTTTTCAAACTTTGCAGATAACTTTATATGTTTTGTAAATTTAAAATGTTAAATCAGATGTTATGATCAGATGTTTAATCTCACTTCAGTAATTTATTGGATGGCTCCTGTTTTTACTTTATGTTTATGTTAAAGCAGTGCTACTCTTCCTTGAGTAAACTTTTTTGGTACTGTACTCCAGAGATGGGAAGTAACGAAGTACAAATACTTCGTTACTGTACTCAAGTAGATTTTTCTGATATTTTTACTTTACTTTACTACTTATTTTTATGGCGACTTTTTACTTCTACTCCTTACATTTTTACACAAATATCTGCACTTTCTACTCCTTACATTTAAAAAAATTGGCTCGTTACTTTAGTTTTGAATCATTTCAATGGAGTTACCGTTATTATTTTTCACGTCATCAATACCAAATTCAATGTAATTGGATGGGAATCTACGTTGCATTTGACGCACCACTACAAGATGAATCGACAGATTCGGCGGTATTCATTGGCGGCAAATCATAGCAGCTTGGTGGCGGTGGCGTTAGCATAGTAGCATGGACGACCAGATGATTGAAAATTAACACAACGGAGATCTAGTCCTATTGGCCGACATCCATTAAAAATGTAGGCAACGGCATGAAAAAAGTGGTTTCTACTTTTACTTTTATACTTTAAGTAAATTTACAAGCCTGTACTTTGTTACTTTTACTTGAGTAAAGAAGTTTAATCAGTACTTCCACTTCTGTGTCATCTTTAAGTAGAAACGGCCTGCAGGGCTCGTTTAGGCTAACGCATGTCTGCAGAGACTATAGCTCCGCCTTCACAACCTGCTGACCACAACAGCACCAACTGCGCTCCACTATTCAGTCCATCGCATAAACAATAGAAAGAGTAAGGCACAAGATGGATGGTAGTTAGAGGAGCTGGAGGGATTCACGGCTCAGGTAGAAGAATCTCATGAGAGGACAAATTTCACACATGGTAGTAGCAGCTTCAGGCTGCGGGGACAGAGAAAATGTTCAGAGTGGATAAAACAACGTATGTAGCTGAAACAGGACAATCATAGAGAAGAAACTGGAGGAGGAGGTAAACCTTCCATCAGGATGACGGCACTAAACAAGCAGCCAGAGCAACGGTGGGAATAATGCAGCTCATCTCTTAGGCGTTTCTCAGAGTACTTCCTGCACTGACCTTGGGGTGAATATACAGCGACAGCTGAACCTCTGCTCATACCCTTCCATCTTAGCATTACATCAACATTCATGTTATCTGTACCAGAGAACTGTGGAGGCAGTAAGGATGCACTTAGTTTTTATGAGCTTTCAGTCTCATCTATGATAAATAATCTCAGATGTTGAGATGTTGTATTTCTAATAGACTTGTGCTTAAGCACCTTATGAAGCCCTGTCTATCAGCTCTCACCATTCTGTGATGCTCTTGTGCGTCCTTATAACAGAGGTCTCGATGTCGATGGGGTGGTAACGCATCCCCCTCAGCTCCATGGCCTCCTCCAGCGCGCCGACCACATACAGAGCATCATGACGCTCTGCAGAAACAGAAAAACCACCCTGCTGTAACTGCATGATTTTTATTAATAACCAGATTACTGCATCTGTTTTGGTTCTTTGTTTTACTCAGAGGAGAATCCAGCTAAGCTCTGAAGCTCTGTGAATCTCAGGTGTTTTTGCTCACCTCCGCTGGCGTCTGTGAGCTCGGTCCGCCGCAGGAAGCCCAGGTATCCGGTCCGAGCCCAAACCGTCTGAGTGTCGCCAAAACTGAGCCTGGAGCTAAAATGATCAGACTGGAGAACTTCGTCTCCGTAGACGGTGAAGTATCCGCTGGCGTTGTGGCCGCTGTGCACCCAGATCTGCACGCAAACAGAACCATATTACTGGTTTTAGGCCAGTGGTTAGCAGCTAGATATTGGCTCATTGAGAAAAACATCCAATCAAAATGTTCCAAGTCTTAAGTTTCAAACTACAGACCTAAGATGGAAACATCACTGGGTCACCATCTTCCTCAGCACCCAGCCTCCGCAGAGAACTGACCCTTTTTAGATAATTTATGGGGAGTGGTGGCCTAGTGGTTAGGGCATTGCTTTTAGATCCCAGAAGTTTTGAGTTTGAGCCCCACTCCCACAGATTGCCACTCTGGTCCCTGAGCAAGACCCTTAACCCCAACACTGCTCCCTGGGTGCTGCACAATGGCAGCCCACTGCTCCCCAATGGGATGGGTTAAATGCAGAGTAAATATCTTTCTGTACTTGTGACAGTGTACTGACAATAAAGTTGAATTCTAATTAGAAGAGAATAATTCTAATTTGGCACCTATTTGGTGCTTTTACTGTGGAGAAAACCAGAACAGCTCTTTTTGGAAGTAAAAAGTCCCGGGATATTGACCCGGCTTCATATAAATCTTATTTTGCTCCTCAAAGGCAAATAAAGCTCTGATTTATTCTGCAGAGTACATCTGTTTCTGATGTGAAAATAATCATGTGCTGAAGCCTTGAGGAGGAACAGCAGGGGGAGCTGTTGTTCAGTATGGAGCTGGATGAATCACCAGACATGACTGGATTGTTTCCTTTATCTGAGCGATTTAAATACGACACAGATGTTAATGAAAAACAATTATGAGAAGAGTTTGTCATTTAAATTCTCAACTTTACAGATTTCCTCAAATTAATTTCATATCAGACAGGATGACCTGAGTAAACACAGAAACACAATTATTAAGAGTGATTCACCAGAGACATTGAAAAGCTGGATTTTACTATGCAAACCCAGGTCTGATGTCTGCCAAACCAGTAGAATCAAGAAATCACAGTGACAGGACCTGTTTCACAACATGAAGTAGGCTTTAGGAAAAAATGAAGCTTTGCATCCAGTCCTGATCTAAAGAGATTCAAGATGAAGAGAGAATAGTTGAAACTACAGTGAGAGCCATTATCCACTGGTAGAGAACACAATGGTGAACCTTCACCAGGCGAGATGGGCTGGTGGTGCGTCCGAGCCACGACTGTTGGTCATTAGAACGTAAACCCTCCAAGATGGTCCATTAATTCCTGCCTGTGTACTGGACAATTTCACAGGATTCATGAGGGCTCTGACTTTAACTAAGCCTGCAGAGCTTTAAAGGTTCCCGTTGTGAACAATAATTTAGACTCACCAGGTCCTGCACCTCTCCAAAATTGTAGGTGACCGCAGACAGTGCCTGATTGGTCAAATCTACATCCGCTCTACACTATTTCCTGTTTGGTACCTTACCGGCTGGTTTTGTCTGTATGACCGCCATTGCGGAAAACGACTCATGAAGTGTAATGGTTTGGAAATGGCCGGTTGTGAAGGATGAAACCATGAAGTCTGATTGCTATTAACTGACTTAAGGAATACTTCTTTGGCTTGATTTTAAGGAAGAGAAAGATGGCAACAAGGCGCTTTGGAATCATTGCAAAGTGGCAATTTTATCCGCAGGAGAAATGCATCCAACATGCAGAAACGCCTGCGCACACAACATGGCATACATTTTAACGTGGTTTTGATGCTTCCGGAAAAGAAGCTAAAGTTACGACCAGCATGGAAGGCAGCGCTGGTGGTAAGTAGCTAGTTTTATATCACTGGCTGTGCTTAATGTGGTTCCTAGTAAATAATAAGCCATTTCTGGAAATAAACCAGTTTCCTACCTCTCTTTGGGGTCATTAAACATGCTACGAAGTTGCTCCGCAGTTCAGGGAGCGTGAGAAAGGGGACGCTCGTTTATTTAAATCAGGGGGTCATGAGTTTATTTCCTGAAATTGTACAGTAACGCTTTTTCATTAAACGGATGCCTTCTCCATTAGATTTAGATGACTGTAGCCTGGCTGGATCAGAGGCTGGCAGCTCCCATTCACTGCCTTCTGTTTTCAATGAGGCAGGGAGAAATAGAATATTCCAGGCGAAGGTAGAGGAATGTCACCATGCGATTACCAAGTTCATTGTTTCACAGAATCGATAAGGGAATCGGAATCATGAAAATATGATCAATTCCAAACCCTATTCCAGAAACCCTTAAAAATATTTAGGTTATGTTGCAGCACGATGACCTAAAACAAACCAAATAGTCCACCTGTGATTGGCTGAAAATTACTTTAGTGCTTATATCTGCTAGTCTTACAATTCTCCAATGCGACCTAATTAAAACAATCCTGCTAAACAGGAAACATAACTAAATAACCAAAAAACATCATCTCAAAACAGACATCAAACAATAAAGTAGGATAAATGAACTTAAATAGATTATCCACAAAAATAAAATCTTAGTTAATTATTAAGAAAAATAATTGGCTCCTACAGCGAGGTTTGGTTATAAAAAATGACACAAACCTCTCCCAGATGTGACTCCCCCATCGGCCCTTTGGTCTCCGGATTGGCGATGATGATCCGGACTCCAGGCAGGATCTGCTCATTCGGAGGAATTCAACAAATAAAAAACAGCATAGACGGCTTAAAACATTTATTATTGCTGTCATGTTACGTTAAATCTCTTATTTAAAGAGGGAATAAGGAACATACCTTCCCAGACTCCATCAGTGGTAAACTGTGTGGGGACCCCCGCTCCACTAATCTGACCCTAAACAGCAGAGTTGGGTTAACATTCTTGTGTTATTAGGTTTATTCTTGCACATTGTGATATATCAAATAAGACTTAAAAATACGATGTGAAGCTTAGAGAGCTGTGTTCATGATTTTTATTTGATATAATAGAATGGCTCAAACAACAAAAAAGACAAAATTTGACTCAGGCCACAGCAGACTGCCTTTGAATTATTGATGACAAGAATAAGCTCTGACTCTCTGAGTCCTTAAAGCTGATAGTTGAGTCGCTGCAAACAGCTGAAGGGGATACTTCTGGGAACAGATTATTTGAATCATCGTAGTTTCCAGAAACCACGGTTTCTAAAATGAAACTTAGGCCTGAGGGTGAATGTAATGGTTCCGACCTCCGAGAGGCAATAAAAGCCAACAGAAGATTAAAAACAACAAACATGGAGCCTCTCAGAAGGACTGAGACCGTCTACATCAGCAGTGATTACATGTTATCACAGATGGATCAGCAGGACTGCAGGGCTTTGCTGCTTTCTGCACTCTGACGGCTGCAGATGAACATCAACAGCAGGAGACCTTCAGTCTGCAAGATTTTAAGGCTCTTCTTCAAAACTCTGAATATCAACATCTGGAAAAACTCCTGACTGATGGGCAGCAGCTCATCACAGTTTGTTAGCTTCTGCTTTCCCAGCTGCTTTTAGGGGACGAGCTACAGGTTCTCATTCGAGAACAGAGATAAAAGGATTTTCTAACATTTTCCCACCACTTTGGTGCTTCACCATAGATCATCAAAAGATACATTAGCAGTGGACAAGAAGAAAACAGGTACTTGAACTTGTTTTTTGCTGCAGCTGAACCTTGGCTCAATTTTCATTATTAATTAATTAAAATGATAACTTTTCAGTTCTAATGATCCCAACATCAGTTTCCCCACCTTCATCCTGTCTATAACAGATAGATGTCTACTGTAAGGCTATCAACCACCTGTGTTATCTTTATCATTCATGAAAAGGTCTGTTAGACTACAATGACCAAGGGTGTTAAGTATTATAGATGTGTATACTTCTCTATGGTTTATGTAGTTTTTATTACCCATATATATTATAAGGTATATACAGAAGCAGCCATTCAAAATGGCCCTTCCCACTCAAAATCTCCTTCCAGCCACCAGCCTTCTCATGGCCGTGCATTTTTTTTACTCTGACTCCGACCTTTCACTGAATTATCCCCCCTAATGTCCACAAATCATGACTGAATGAACATTTTAGATGTTTAAAAAGGAATTGTAGAGGACTATCCAAGGACCCATCAAGAAAATTGGGGAAATTTTGAATGGCTACTACTGTATTCTAAGGTTTTGTTTAGATCCCTTTTGTCCGAATAAAAGTAATCATCTTCATTGCATTTGTCACAATGTTAGGAGAAGAGAAAGGGAAGGTGCAGAGGAACCTAAATAGATCCACATGTGGACAAAAATGTTAGTCCCCCATGTTTGATCAAAGAAAAAACTACAATAGTCACGGAAAGAACTTATGAAAAAGCCCTGCAGAAAAGTAATGGTACCCCTAGAAAAGACTGAAAATGATGTCACCAAAGGGAAATGTTAAATCAAGGTGTGTCTACAATCATGTGATCAGTTAGCTGGCCTATGGGGAGTGTTGGCCTGGTGGTTATAGCAGTGCACTTGTGCTCTGACAAGGTTGCAAATGATCAGTTGGATCCCTATAGCCTGCACACTGGGTTCCTGAGCAAGACCCTTAACCTCCTGATTTCATCTGGCTTGGAGTGTCTTAATCTCTGCAGGGTCCAATCCAATCTATAGATTATCCAGGGATTCTAGAGAGAAATGTGCTGTCCAGAGTCAATAAGCTTGGTCTCAATCGAGGTCATGGGACTTCAACAGAAAAATGAACCAAAACACGCAGCTGAAAACACCCAAGAATGTCTGAGAGGCAAACACTGGACCATTCTGAAATGGCCTTCTGTGAGCCCTGGCCTAAATCCTATTGAGCATCTTTGGAAGGAGCTGAAACATGCTGTCTGGAAAAGGCAGCCTTCAAACCTGAGACGGCTGGAGCAGTCTGCTCATGAGGAGTGGGCCAAAATACCTACTGACAGGACCAAAAGGCTCGTTTATGTTTACACGAATCATTTGATTGCAGTGGTTGTCCAGATCTGATTAATGATTTTACCTTTTTAATTAATTCTGTTGTAGCATGGTTGAAAATAAATGTCTTTCATTTGCTAATTTTCCTAGACTTTTTTATTTGATATTTTTATCATCCATCATCCAGTCTGTCGCAGGACGATCATTTTATCAGATTCAAGTTATTTCTGTGACCATTGTTGTTTTTTCTTTCATTCAATGAGGGGATTCGACATTTCTGTCCATGTGTATGAAACTCAATACCATTAATAAATAAAAAATGTTACTCCTCTCAATGGCCAGGCTGATAAGATGACATATGTTCATATCCTGAGGTAAAAAGCTGCAGCAGGGAAAAGAAGAACCTGGTTTGAGATATGATTGGTGGGTCAAACCATGAGACACGACAGATAACTGCCCACCTGGCAGACACAAAGTACACTGAAGCAGAAGCAGGGTGGGGAAATATAAAGCAACAGCTGTAATTTACAATTGCTCTTCAGCAGTGAATTATAATTATTAGGAAAAGTCCAGAACAAAAACCTCTGATCATGGCTGTAATGTGTGAAGGTGTTGCTATACTTCCCACCCCTGAAACTCAGACATCGCTAAATTTTTCAGACAGCTGGTTTTTCCTTTAAGACTTCAAATTGAACTAATCAAAGCCTCGTCTCTTTCTGTGACTCAACATAAAGCGAGCTAACATACATGTATTCTATCAACTTCATTCACCACTGTTGCGTCCAAATTTTTCCCACTGTGGGACACTAACGCTGTTTATATTCTATTCTGCTTCTCTGTAAACTCAAACTTTTCGCTGTCTCATCAGAGGTGAGGACAACATTTCTTGTTTTGCGCTTGTTTTCAAGGCTGCAGTCCCTTATTCCCAAGCACTCGACTGTATCGCATTAATAAACTTTACAACTGAAGATACCCTGCAGAACAGCTGCAGGATCCCACTGCACCCAAGGCAACGCTTTGTGGGAACTGAATATATAAAATGTCAGCGTGAGCAGAAAGAAAAGAAGCTCAGAGTTACTTCCAGAAATTAAAATGAGCCTCATGCAGAGACTGAAGCATATCATCAAAGATTGTTTCTAATTTTGTAGTTTATCAGAAAGAAAGCTGTGGATAAAATCTGTTAAATCTATTTATCTTCTTCTTAACAAATATATTTCATGCTAAATATTCCTAAATGCATTCAGCAGCAACTTTTTTACGTATATCTTATGTAGAAACAATAATCAGCATCTTGAAATGCTATTTAAGTGATTTTGAGCATGTGATATGCTGACATGGGTGTTTCATACATTGAACATTTATTTGGATTTTGTAGAAAATCTATCTGTCAGGTCACTGAGGATGGTCAGAAATAGTGAAAACACCACCAGAGCTGCAGCTGTTTGTGCAAAAACACTTTTGTGGTGTCAGAGAATAGATGGTTGAAAATGATAGAAATGCAGCAGTACCTCAAATAACCACGAATGACATCTGAAAAGCACAACACCTCTGCTTTTAGTCAGAATAAGGCATTATATAAGTACAGGCCTTGTACCATTTTGTGATCACAACATCACTGGACGGATTCATCCTCCCATATAACCTCCACCACCAGCCCAAACTGACCACTGGTTGATGAACCGGGGAAAAAGGGTACAGGCTGGGTTTTTTTCTTTGGTATATTTGAGGTTTTGAATTGGCTGTTGTGTTTAGACAACGCTAAGTTGGTATTGATTGTGCATAACTGTCCCTTTATGATTGCAGTGGCACCATCATCAGATGGCTCCTTCAAACAGGATCATGCAGAATTTCACAAGGGACAGATTATTTTAAACTGGTTTGTATAAGATGACATTGATTACTATCGACTGCTCGGTTACCAGATTTCCAACAGAGCACCTTAGGGATGTGATGGATGGAGAGATTCACAGCACAAGTGTGCAGCTACCTATGATGCACCATCAAGTCAATATGGGTCAAAATCTCAGAGGAAGGTTTATATCCCCTTGTTAAATTTACAGTTAGGATTTAGATTCATTCCAACTGGGTCCCACTGAAGATAAAGGAACCCTACTTTATTGCATGTGGAAAAATAAAATGCTTTAGGAAGAGGAAAGAATAGAAAAAAAAATATTGCAAAAGTAATTGCACTGAACCCCCATCCATGGGCTTTATGTTTGGTTTAAATCCAATAAATTATCATTTCATTGCCAAGATCTGTATTGCACTGATGGAAAAACACCCATAGACCAGTAGTTATTCAGTGGATAAAACAGAACGTAGTACGCCTTCCACTTGAACGAATAACAATTTTTTAAGTGTAAAAAAAGTTCTTTCTTTTTTTTTTTTTTTATATGTTAAAAATGTAAGCTTGGTTCCTGAGCAGGAAGACGACATATTGATTGATCCATGTTTGTATGTTAATATTATTATTTCTTGTCTCTACTTATTTATTTTTTCACAATGTAAGAAGCATAGAACGTTATTCGTTTAAAGATTACCTGGCTCACATGTAGGAACACTGTTGTTTTTTAATTCTTGTTCTAGGTTTTTTTTTTTTTTTTTTTTTTTTTTTTTTTCTAGGTTGTTGATAAAAATGTAATTATATGGTAGAGTATATAATATAAACCTCATTCACGAAAACTTTGTAATAAAATATTGTTGAAAAAATCTGAGAGGGAAATAGGCTTGTCCCGATCCGATCCACTTATCGGATCGGGACGCCGATATTGGCAAAAAAATGCGTATCGGCAAAGCATGTAAAATGCCGATCCAGACTGCCGATCCAGTTTTTAAAAAAAAATCCGGTCCGTATTTTCCAGTTTCGCCGATTGAAACGATCCATTCCACTATTTTGCGCCAGTGTTTCCCTGTTTTGCATTTTTATTAAAACTTACAGTAATACTTGCACCTTTAATTGTTTACGGTTTTACTGTTCACTGTGCAATTTCAGATTGCTATTCATAATTTTGTCCAGTTTGTGTTTATCTCTTAATAAACAGGAAAGTTTGTTGTTACCAAGCATTGTGTTTTATTCAATCTCACCTAATTTAGCTGGCTAGATGTTATCAAGAGTACTAAAACCCTTTTCAACATGAGTCTTACAACTAAGGCTAAATACTTTAACTTAAACTTAAATACATGCTCGGATAGGCTGGTATCGGCCAGTATCAGTATCGGATCGGAAGTCCAAAAATAATATCGGTATCGGATCGGAAGTGCAAAAACCTGGATCGGGACATCTCTAGGGGGAAATGAGGGAAGCAAATTATTAAAGAATATTATTAATAATAAAAAATGTATTACCCATTCATATTTAGCAAATAAAGAAAACATTTTAATCCCCATTTCAGCCACAGAGCAAACAGATTTTCACCTGTCGTGTCGTAGCGCTCTCATATCCACGTACACAGTGGTGGGGTCGGGTCCTGATGTACCCTGGGTAACAAAAAACATCTGATTAACCTGCAGGAACACAGACTTCAGTCATTTTATTATACAAGCACAAACCAAACACTACTACCACTATAACTAGCACCACTAATTCCTCCCAGGCTGCAGTGGATGCATTCATCTCTAATCACAGGATGCAAACATTAGGAGTGTGTTCTGAGACCACCTCAGTGGAAGGTGACAGAGCAAAACAAACATTACAGTGTGTCATAAACAGAGTAAATACAAGACTTTACAACGTGTTTCCATCAAACCCACATGCAGACAGAAAGCCCCAAATCAAGGAGCAGAGAAGTAGAGGAAAGATGACAGATTTAAAAGCAGAAGTTTGTTCTGCAAAGGTTTAAGTTGGGATTAATGAAAAAATAAGAAAACAGAAAAGAATTTAGACCAGAAACTGATTTCTTAGTATTCAACCAAACCCCAGGTTCTCTTCAAATATAAGAAAATCATAAGAGAATCCATCACCGGATAAAAACCGTCTCAACCAAAGATCCAAAACCCTTATAGACAAACTCAGTCATCATGGGCTAAATTACAGACATCCCAAGTCTACGGGAAGTTCTGGGAGTCTCCCTGATATACATAGCTGTTCATGGATGCCTGTGAGTCGGATAAATTATCCCGGATTCTACACTGTGAAGTGGTGTTTTTTAATGCGAGTGAGAACGGGCAGGCAATAATTCCTGCATCCTTGGAAACGGCAGAGGTTGAATCCTCGAGTAAAAAACGAAAATATAGGACTAATTTTAAAGCAGAAAATACTAAAGTATATCCACGTCTAGTGGAGGGGAGGAATAGTGGCGGATCTAGACCAAATATACCAGGGGGCCAGGAGGGGGCAGCGTGTTTTCATGGGGGCCCAGAAAAGCATGAAATAAAAAACAGGGCAAGAGATTCTAATATATTAAGAGAGCTGCATTAAGTTACATTTATTTTCAATTAGCTTCAATAGAAATTCTATCTCTTTTGAGGTCAATATACATTTATAATTTGACTTAATTTAAGTTAAAACTACCGTTTTCTATAAAATTTGAATTAGAACTCAAGAAAAACTGTTAAATTCATCTGTAAAAATTAGAGCATTTTTTTATTTGTTGTGGAGAAAAAAACATTTAGCAGATGAAAACTGGGATCCTATCTCAGTACCACCGAAGCTATCACCTTATTGTTTTTGAATAATTAGTAAAACAGATTTTATAAAGAAAAAGAATGAAATAGATCCAAAGGACCTATCAGTAACCACGTCTGTTCCAGCGCAGATCATCATTAGAATTTCTCACCCCCGTTGGCCCCTGTCTTGAACCGGCCATGGTGAGGAATGATGTCACCGTGGCGAGGTGCACTGTATGCTGAAGTCCCCTGAAAATGATGTTCAAGGCTACAAGATTGAAAGTACTGAAAATGTTTGAGGCATTAAGCATCTCCCTGAAATTAGTTTTGGGAACTTGGGATGTCTGAAATTAGCACAAGGCTAGCCTAATGATTTTCACACAAAAATAATAATTTATTTGCATTTCTTGATTTTCCTGTAAATAACGCAAACTAAAGCACAACAGGTTGATTTTATTATAAAACTGGTACCAAATCATAACAGAAAATAGATATCTTCAAATAAGCTAGCCAGCGACATTAGCTAAAGCGTGACTTGATGATAAAGTGCTAAGAAAAAACTTTTCACAAAGACCCCAATTTACTTTTATTGTCATTGTTCTGAATCTTTTAGTTTATGTTCAGTAAAACTACAGTTAAAAAGCATATAATGGTTTAATAGTTAATAGATACAGTAGTAATCTGGAGCTTCCGGCGGCCATTTTTTAATTCACCCCACTAGCTGCTCTGGAGCCTTCTGGGTTTGCTAGTTTCTACCAAGAAGACGCAGTTTTATTCACTGGTTTTTACAGGAAAACAGATTTTATAAAAGGTTCTCCATTATATTTCTTTTCAAAAATGTTTTAACGTATGTCACTGGCTACAGTTAGGTCCAAAATTATTCATAGCCTACCCCTGGCACATTTGGGTTGGCAAATGTCCTTTAAATTTAAAATAAAATTGGTGGCGAGTGAGAAACAACATTTACATTTTAGAAATAGGTCAACATTTTTGCTTACAAAGAAATGAATATTAATAACCTTCAAAATATTATTAAGGTCTCCAGAGAAACCTAATTTTCAGCCATATGCTTGATTTAATTCTGATCTATTACACTATGGAGGCCTCCTTCTAATTAGTTGACTTGGTTACTGGAACACACTTTTGGTTCCTAATTTGCTCTTTTAATTAACATTTTCCTGCATTTGCCTGATGCATAAACCAGTCAGCAAAATGCACAGGGGTAAAATCTAGTTATGAGATATTTTTTGTTTTTTTTTTAACGCCAAGATCATAATAGTTTGGTGAATTAAGAGTAAAGTTGCTCCAACGGCTGAAGCCTTCTGCAGCCTAACAAGAAAAAGCATCAACATGATTCTTCTAAAAGCAAATTTGTGCTGTTTTTGCTTAATCTCTCCTCCTATGATTTAGAAATTGTGCAAATGCCAGATTGAGGGAGTGAGGAGAGGTCTAGTAGAGTTGAGGAATATAAAACACTGACTATTGCAACTTCAAAAAACTTGATGCATTTCAATGTTTCTATGGAAGGATACTTTGAAAAGGCTGCAGAAAGTGTAAGAAAAAAAAGGAATTTCCAGTGATTTAAAAAAAAAGTTTTAATCTTAAGCTGTTTGGAGAGCAGGTTGCTGACAAACCCGGTGCTGTTCGTCAGGCAGGGGAAGGTTCATGGAGGTTCCCTACCTGGTCGGCAAACTTTCCCAGCCTGTGAGGCTACAGCAGCAGAGAGACGGGGCCCAGGAGGAAATAAAAGAGGAAGCAAAGGAAGTAAAGAAGGAGGGAGGACGGAGACAGAACAAAGTATGAGATATGAAGGTGGGGTTATGCTTTAAAACAAGAAGAGGGAGGAAAAAAGTCAAAATGCAAACTTAAAGAAACAAAACAACCAGTTCGCTTTAAAAAAATGTGTTTCAGCAGGATGTTAGTCTGAGTCATCTGAGCTCCTTCAAGGTTTAACTGCTGCGCCTTTAACTAACCAGGTTATGTGTTTGTCATTCATTCATTTAAACAGACTGTGAAATTACAGGTTGAAGGATGGGAGGTTAGTCTAACAGCTGAAGCTTTAACATCATCTACAGTTAGCAAATTAGTAGCTCAAATTCATGCCTGGAAATGGAATAACAATCTAAAGCAGGTATTCCCAAAGTCGGTCCTGGAGGGCCGCTTCCCTGCAGGTTTTAGAGGTTTCCTTGCTCCAGCACAGCTGATTTTAATTGAAAGCTGATTAACAGGCTTTTGTTCAACTGCAATCATCATAATCGCTGTGCTAAAGCAGGGAAACCTCTAAAACCTGCAGGGCAGCGGCCCTCCAGGACCGACTTTGGGGACATCTTAAAAACAATACAGTGATCATTTGATATAAGATAAGAACATCTCTGTCCAATTTAAAGGTTTTAAACCGCAGCTGAAAGCGACAGAAATGATCAGCCTGGAATGGAAGGACGGATGGAGCTGAAATATGAAATAAAAAGCTGAATGTGTTTCTGCAGAAGGAGGGGAGGACAGAGTCCGGTAAAACTTGAAAAAGCTTTTTCATGTCTTGTGTCCATTATGACGTTCTGTCCTTCCAGGTTACCTGGCTTTCCTACACCCTCCTTTCCTTAAATGTTTCCTTGTATTCTTGCTTGACAATATCCTTCTTTTGTCATTACGTCCTTTCCTTGTTTCTTTTCTTTTTTCTCCCAATATATGCATTTTCCAATTCCTAACTTTCCTTTTCTTTTTCTTAACTGTTTCTCTTGTGATTCTTATCTTTACGTCCTTCCTTTCTGAAATTATGTTCTTCTGTCTCCTTTTCCTTCATCTTACTTCTGCTTTTTTTCTGCTCTGTTTTTTTATTCTGTTCTCCTTTCATTCCTTCCTTCCTTCCACTTTGGTTTCAGCAAGTTTAATATCAGAGTTCTAATCATTGCAAATCTTAAATAATTTTAATGTGAATTTTAGTATTTTATTTAAAAATAAATTTAGATAACAAAAAAATTATTTTATGACATGATTAATCCACATTATTTGCAAAAGAAAAAAAAATATTTGCCATTTAAAAAAAAAAAGTTGTTTTTATGTTTTGCTTAAAACCAAACCACAGATCCAAACCCTGCAGAAGTCTAGGGTTTATATAAACATTTGAAGCTTAATTCCAAAGCTATAGAAACAGAAGTGCAGGATGGTCAGTCCATTGCAGCACACTGTCCCCCGGTAGGACCGCAGGCCAACCCGCTATCACATTTCCCCACACAGGTTGGTTTACCTGTAAACCTTTTTTGTACCAGTTAACCTTATGTTGCCTATTGGTCTATTTCTTCTCCCATGCAGATGATAGTTAAATAAACGACTCATTAGGAGGCTGTGTGTTGGAGCAGGAACATACACACCTGATCGAGGTGGTTAGCTGTTTCTAAGGGACGATGGAAATAGAAAATCATAAATGTATTAAAAATTCAGATTATTTTATGAAGACTTTATGCTTCGTCTTATTTTCCTTTCCTTCGGTTCGGCTGCTTATTGGGGCAAGCTGACTTTTATGACTAACAGAGCACCACTATGCTGCTTCCTGCTGCTAAATATCAGTTATTAGATTCACATCATTGCCTATCCTTACAGATCTTTGTGAACAGATTGTAAAAAAAATACTGGGAGGAAGAAAAGCTGTCTGAATAGATATAATGGCAAGCAGCTTCTTTTCTAACATAAAAAGTAATGAATTAACTAAAACTGCAAAAATACAAATTCAAAAAGGGGGAGGGGTATATATCTTAGGGTGAAATAAAAGAGTCACAGCAGAAGGGGAACCTGCAATAACCCATGATAAAAATCCTAAACATGGTGTGAAAACTTAAAGACTTTATACCTGGTTTAGATGAAGCTAGACGAGCTCAACACAACCTTCAATCAGACAACCAATCAGCATCCAAACAGCTGAGATGAGATGCTGATTATTTTCAGAAAGCTGTTTATTTAAACTAAAAAACTAAACCAAATGACAAAAACCAGATACCTGCAAACTTCAGCTAAATGTTCCGACACATTAAACAACTGAATACAGAGTCCCAGCTCTGATTTCAGCCATGATGTTTAACGGTGAAGCTAACTGACCTGCAGGCAGATGGCCAGGTTGACTCTGCAGCCGAACGAGGTGCTGACGGCCCGTGGGTGGAGTCCAAGGTCCTTGAAGAGTTTGGAGAAGGACTGCGTCAGCGCTATCCTGGGACGCTCCTCTGCTACCACCACGCACGTCCTCACCCTGGACAGGTCTACCCCTCGAGACTGGATGGCGGGAAGCAGGAAGGACATCAGGAAGAGACAGAGAGATTTCTGTAGTTAATTCATGCAGCTGATAAAGTTACCTTTAGTAAGTCAGTTTGCAGGCCCAGGCCTTTGGTGCACAGCTCCATGACGCTGTAGGAGCAGAAAGTGTCACGGACTTTGTACTGACTGACGGCCGACAACCAGAGAGCCGGATTCACTTCCAGCTCGGAGGGAGGAATGAGGATGGACTGGTGACCTGAGTAAACACTGAGGAGGAGGAGACAGAAGGTGAACAGAGTATTAATAATGGAAATAAAGATTTAGAATGAAAACCGATTACGATATTTAAGGAAGCTCGTGTCGCATAATTTCATTCGTAACAAATGATTAGTGTGGATTTTAATTAACATTTTTCCAAACTTTAAGTGCTGACCCAAAGAGAACATGAGAATCCTTTAATTACAGTAAACATTAACAGTTAATCCAAAAAACATTTTACAAAAAGGATAGTTGGAACCACAGAGACCCCCCTTGGCTCATTACTCGGGTCCCTGTTCTTTCCATCATTCCCTTTTTCCTTCAGACTGGTTTAAATCCACCTTTGACTAAACTTCCCAAAAACATCATCCAAGCCAATTTCTCTATTTTACACCATTTAAATACAATTATCTCAACATAAATGTCAAATTAACTAATTAACAGATGTCTTTTTTTTTTCTTTCGATCTTGCCTTTTTACTCAACCTTAACTAAGATGAACCGATGCTGAGAATTTGATTAACTTTTTAAAATTAAATCATGATTAAAAAAAATGGATGTATTTATTGTTGTATTCACCTGCAAAGGCACCAGAGGACGAAGCCCAGGCCGCAGTAGGGGTCCAAGCAGATGGCGACCTCTCTGGATGGGTAGAGCTCACACTGCAGCTTGATGGAGCGGCAGAAGGCACTGGTGGCGGTGTGAGACATCTAGAGCACAGAAAGAATCTCCCTCTGTTACTACATGCCTTACAGATTTAGAAAACGTAGAAATGATGATATTTGGGTAACTTTTAAAGGCAACCTAGAGGATGAAGTCAAACTGCCTGTTATTGATGGAGCAACAGAACATTGATTAGATTGGATGCAGCAGCGTCTTCGTGACTGGGACGCCTTGTTTTTCCTCTGAGGTGTCTGGCTCCAGCTTTAACATGGCGGCGCTGACTGATTTGCTCATTAAGTGCGATGATTAATCACAATGAACGGGCAATTTAGCAGCACAGGGGAAAACAGGCTGGCTTTACTTCCCCTTATTTTTTAAACAGCTGTTTCATTAATGATGCTTTATCGTCCTTTGTGTTGTCATGACGATGCAAAGCGTCACATCTGCAGCTTTAGGCGACATTAACACACTCAGGACAGCTTCCCTCTGAACATTCAGACATCTTTTAAAACTGGCTGCAGAATCCAGATGAACTTTGGCTGTTAGATACATTTACTGGGTTCTGACTGTGGGGTGATAATGAAGTCTCAGCACACAAAGAGCACTGCAGTGCAATCCGATGTAACCTGTTACATCATTATTCTCCACTCTTACTAAGCCTGTTTACAGCTTTTTAATAATTCAACTTGCTTAGTTTGCACCAAAGTGGGTTCAGGTGGAGTAGAAATTAATTTTAGTTTCTTATTTACCAATTAAAACAAGACTTTGAATGACAGGTTTCATTTTATATATTCAATCTCTGAATATATCCAACTACTGTCAAATTTCAAAATAAATCAAATTTACTGTAAAGATAATTTATCCTGAGCCTACTACATTTTACTGTAAATCCAGTTTAAATTATTCCCATAAATAAATTAAAACTGAACTTTAGAGCTGTGATAATATGTAATCCCATCATCTAATTAAATACACTTGGGTCAAAAAATATATTTACTAGGCATTACATCATTAGTAGATTTTAGGTGTAGACTGTAGGGAATGACATAAATCTAAGTCTGTAAATTTTGGAATAATGTTAATATTTTAGTTGGATTGGATGATTTAGTCTCTGGTTTACTTGGAGGCAAAGATAAGAACATTATCCTTGTGTATAATGATTAAATTACATCAGACTCAGCCTTAAATATAGATCCTTAACAGAGATAGAGGCTTTAATTTTCTCCAATTTCCTCGATTGCACCTAAAAGCTGCTGATAAGTGAAGGTGGGAATGATAACAGGGAATATGTCAGGTTCCTGTTCTACTGTTAAAAGCTAAAAGAAGCAACATTTCGTTGTTCAGTTTATTTTTGTTTTTCAGGACAGCGTTATCTTACAGAGAAAACCTTCAAAGGTTTGGTTCAAAACTTTAAACTTTGAAAGCAAAACAAAAACTATATGTTTTTTTTTTTTTTTTTGTACCTGCAGAGAATCAAACCAAAGGTTTCAGCATCGATAGAATAAACACAGAAAAGGAAAGGTTACGCGTGCATCAGTGGATTTACACACAGGCACAATAACAACCAGATGGAGGACAGGAAGTCAGTATGTTTCTCTGCAGCAGGAATCAATAATCGCTTTTATCCTGGAAATGTCATCACCGCCAAACTATCTCCCTCTCATAGCAGCTGGCATTGGAGGGTCAAATCTTTTGTTAAATCTGAGGAGGAGGGATAGAAGTAGTTTCCACAAGCAGCACCTCACCTTTAGCATCCTGAGGTAAATTCTTCATCGGCTAAACTGATTTAAAGCTTTAACATCCATCCATTGTCTGCGAGTGCTTACTTTGACTCCAGCTAGCATGCCTGTGGTGGAGACGCTGAAGTCCAGGTAGGCCAGGGTGTCGGGGTTGGACGGTTTATACAGCAGGGGAGGCTTCTTCTTTGGCAAATCATCTGAAAGGAAAACATTTGGAGTCATAAATTCTTAAATATATCTAGTTTTAAGCATCCAGACTTTGCTATAATCTCTTCAAATGGTCTTGATGTAGGTCTCCAGACTTTCTGAGGTTGTCTTTGATGTAAGTCTTTTTCAGGGGGCATTCTGCTCAGATGCATAAACTGAATCAGCTGACACCTTTTGATGCAGAGAAGCAGCGGCTCGACCCGTCTCTAAGGAGTCTAGCTGCCACTCAGCGGAAGCTCATGATCCAGGGAAGACGAGCTTTGATTTTTAGCTAAGGTCTTTCTTTAACACAACAAACAGGAGTAATGTCTGCAGATGAAGCTCATCTCTCTCTCCATCTTTACTTCCATCCTATCACTTGTAAGAAATACAGTGGGGCAAAAAAGTATTTAGTCAGCCACCAATAGTGCAAGTTCTCCCACTTAAAAAGATGAGAGAGGCCGGTGATTTTCATCATAGATATACCTCAACTATGAGAGACAAAATGAGAAAAAAAAATACAGAAAATCACATTGTCTGATTTTTAAAGAATTTATTTGCAAAATATGGTGGAAAATAAGTATTTGGTCAATAACAAAAGTTCATCTCAATACTTTGTTATATACCCTTTGTTGGCAATAACAGAGATCAAACGTTTTCTGTAAGTCTTCACAAGGTTTTCACACACTGTTGCTGGTATTTTGGCCCATTCCTCCATGCAGATCTCTTCTAGAGCAGTGATGTTCTGGGGCTGTCGCTGGGCAACACGGACTTTCAACTCCCTCCAAAGATTTTCTATGGGGTTGAGATCTGGAGACTGGCTAGGCCACTCCAGGACCTTGAAATGCTTCTTACGACGCCACTCCTTCGTTACCCGGGCGGTGTGTTTGGGATCATTGTCATGCTGAAAGACCCAGCCACGTTTCATCTTCAATGCCCTTGCTGATGGAAGGAGGTTTTCACTCAAAATTTGACGATACATGGCCCTATTCATTCTTTCCTTCACGCGGATCAGTCGTCCTGGTCCCTTAGCAGAAAAACAGCCCCAAAGCATGATGTTTCCACCCCCATGCTTCACTGTAGGTATGGTGTTCTTTGGATGCAACTCAGCATTCTCTCTCCTCCAAACACAACGAGTAGAGTTTTTACCAAAAAGTTCTATTTTGGTTTCATCTGACCATATGATATTCTCCCAGTCATCGTCTGGATCATCCAAATGCTCTCTAGCAAACTTGAGACGGGCCTTGACATGTACTGGCTTAAGCAGGGGGACACGTCTGGCACTGCAGGATTTGAGTCCCTGGCGGCGTAGTGTGTTACTGATGGTAGCCTTTGTTACTTTGGTCCCAGCTCTCTGCAGGTCATTCACTAGGTCCCCCCGTGTGGTTCTGGGATTTTTACTCACCGTTCTTGTGATCATTTTGACCCCACGGGGTGAGATCTTGCGTGGAGCCCCAGATCGAGGAAGATTATCAGTGGTCTTGTATGTTTTCTATTTTCTAATAATTGATCCCACTGTTGATTTCTTCACACCAAGCTGTTTACCTATTGCAGATTCAGACTTCCCAGCCTGGTGCAGGTCTATAATTTTGTTTCGGGTGTCCTTTGACAGCTCTCTAGTTTTGGCCATGGTGGAGTTTAGAGTGTGACTGTTTGAGGTTGTGGACAGGTGTCTTTTATACTGATAACGGGTTCAAACAGGTGCCATTAATGAAGGTAACGAGTGGAGGACAGAGGAGCCTCTTACAGAAGAAGTTACAGGAATGTGAGAGCCAGAAATCTTGCTTGTTTGTAACTGACCAAATACTTATTTTCCACCATATTTTGCAAATAAATTCTTTAAAAATCAGAAAATGTGATTTTCTGGATTTTTTTTTCTCATTTTGTCTCTCATAGTTGAGGTATATCTATGATGAAAATTACCGGCCTCTCTCATCTTTTTGAGTGGGAGAACTTGCACTATTGGTGGCTGACTAAATACTTTTTTGCCCCACTGTACGTAAATATGCTTAAACTCCTTTCCTAGAGCCAGAGACTGAACCTCCACTGAGAAGCAGTCCATCCCTGGGCTTCAGTTCATGTTAATGAACAAAAAATAAATTAAAACATCAGCTCAGGCTCTTTGTTATAAAGAGCCTGAAAAAAAATACATGAATGTTCTTATTGCTCCAGCTGAAAAAATTGAAAGAAACCAGTTTAAACTCTTTTAAAGAAAGTTTAGGCAGTAGAACATTTTTAGGACCAGAGATGGAGACAATAAAAGGATGTAAAAGCAGCAAACAAGCAGCCAAAGAACAAAGACAAAACTGCAACAGGCCATCAGATGTCTGGAGGCTGTTTCTTTCAAAGGATTACAGAGGCTGCTTGGAGGAAAAACAGGATAAATTTGTTCTTTGAACAGCTCAAAACTTAAGCTGTAATACACTAAAGATTTATATAAAATGAAAAAATAGACCCAAGGCCTGGATGTTAACTTTAAAATAAGAAAGCAAATAAAGTATGATTATAATCAGATTAATTTGTTCTCTATATTATATTTTCGTTTAGAAAGTTTGACTTTAGAGCATTTTTACACATTTATATTGTCAGAAAAGTTCTCTGCTTTGTTGTAGCATCAGATCTACATGGAAAGCTTGTACCTGTGTCAATAACGGGCGGCCATGTTTGGACGTCCACGGCCGCCAGAGCCTCCTTTGACCTCAGCAGCTTGCAGATGACCTGTGTGGTCATCACACACACTGACCGGCTCACCTAAATGGTGCATCACACACAAAAAACAGAAGAAAAAAAAACAAATACTGTCCATTAGAGGCATTACACTGCAACTGTGATGCAGCTGCAACAATCAGAGGAAATGACAGACCACCAGGGTTCTGCTCCACAGATTTCCTGTTTTTCTTTAAAGCTGCGGTATTCCTAGCATCCCTGCATGTGATGCCATTCCAACACAGATTAAATCGGTCGGCAGCTTTTACCTCCACAATCATCTTGACAGTGGGCAGCGTGGTGGCGATGTTCTGTGGGTGAGGAGGACGCACTGTGATCGGGACGCAGCCGGCGTAAAGGCATCCGTAAAATGCAGCGATGAGGTCGATACCTGGAGGAGGAGTAGAAGAAGAAAGGATGAAAGGAAAACGATGAGTTATTGAGAACGACGCAAAAGGAAACAATGACAGAGAGAGTTTTAGACAAAGAAAAGATGGAGGATAAAATAGGAGCGGTTCAGATGAAGGAAGAGAGAGATCAGAGGATACAGCTTTCAAAAAAGAGAGTTTTAAGGTTAATGTGGTTTTTCTGCTACAATTCGTTCTCCTCAGGTCTGCAACTTGTGACTGAACATCAGTCATCCCATCTCAAAGGTCATTTGATCCATTCCTAACTGCAGTTGTCTGAACATCTCACTTCTGTTCTCAATTAAAAACACTTTGTCTTTATTTGTTATAAATATCAATGCTTCCTTTGTTTCTTTACTAGTATCCACTCAGCTCAGCTCCACCTCTAAAGTCCCTCCTATGACATCATAGTCGATCGTGTTTCGACATTCGGTTGCAGTTCTTTGAGGTTCAAGGAGATTCAGGAAGATCTGAGCTTCTGTTTGTTTTGATTCTGGAACCCTGCAGAGGCTGAGCAGCTTCAATCGATCGAAACAAAAAAAACATCATGGCTAAAACTAGTAAGTCAGTTCAAAGGTTAAGGCCAGCCTCTATTGATATACCTTCATTAAATGTTGTCTAAAGCAGGTTTAAATATAGTTTATTGCGTGATAATTTGTCAGATTCTGCTAAATCATCCCTTTTTCAGCTGATTTATTGTTTACCAGGGTTATAGTCGGTAAACAGAGCTAGAGACTAATTAAAGGACAATCTTTGGACAATTTTCCATATGTTTTAATATAAACAATTCTCCCAATTCAGATCTAGTTGCCGTCTGTGTCTCACACAGTCAGGCTGCTAAACACATCTAAACATCTAAACTACTTTTAATATCACACAAAAAGTGACCTGACTGGATATAAAATGCATTTTTTAAATGATGCTTTACTGATTTGAGAGAAATGGCTTTTCCAACCAACCAACACTAATATGAAAAGGTAATTAAACTGATAACTTGGCACCAACAGCGGCTGTTTTTGTTTGGTCTTTTTTATTATTTTGCAGAACTGTTTTAATTAGTTTCACATTGCATGGACAGACTGGTTAACTTCATTTTGCAGCTTTTCATTTGAATTTCTGGACTTTGACTAGACTACTAGAAAAAAACACTTGTTTTAGAAATGGACCTTCCAGTGACTTCCAGTGGCTCTTTTCTGCATTAACAGTGACTAATTTATTATTTCTACTTTAAAGATCGGTGTTAGAACATGTTAATAACCAGTTTTTAATTTCACAGACATCTTTTTTGCTAATTGATTCACAAAATGAGAAGAGGCTGAGTTCACCTGGAGGGTAAACCAGTGCGACGTGGTCTCCGTCCTGCAGGTGGGCCCGTTCGCCCAGCACAGCAGCGATCTTCTCTGCTCTCTTATGCAGCTGAACGCAAGTCAAAGAGCTGGCTATCGCCCCCTGCAGGTCAGAAAGAGAGGTGATGGATGTCTTCACAAGCAAACTAAACCTTCTTACAATTTTAATTTAGAAGAGTGAGACAAATAATAAATACAGATTCCATCAAATTATTCCCCACTGATGCTCAATAATATTTTTACCCTGGAGTTAAGAAGTGTGTAAAGGACGTGGTCCGGGGTTGTCTGCGCTCTCCACTGCAACACCTCCGACAGGAAGAGGAACTAAAAAATGAATAAAAAACATAAAAATCTATTGTTATCAACTATCTCTATAGAAAAACTGCAAACCAACGACTACTGAATGACAGCAGCAGCTTATTTAAAAAAAACAAAACACAAAATTGAATAAAGTGAAAATGTTTCAGATATAATTGACTTTAGTATCAGACAAAAATAAACATATAATAAAACAAATCCCACATAATTATTCAATTTATTCAAATGAAAACACTCAAAAAACAACTTTTCCACATGAAAGATAAAGCAACAACCCATTAAGCACTTTTATTTAATTTATTCACTCACTGCATGTTTGCAGTCCTCCCACACTTCTCAATCAGATCTACTGTAATTCTGGACTTTAGCTGAAAAACCTTCTTTTTGGAAAATGATCAGATCCATCTCTGCTGGAGTGCTTAAGAATATGAAGGAGGTGAAAAAAACTCTAAATTAGAGGAATTTCTGGATCTTCCTGTTGGGGAATTTCTGCCAGGGAGCAGAAATCCTGCTTCTATGGAAACATTTGGTCGATCTGATCCCAAAGCAGCTCCACACCATCATATTACCACCACCGTGTTTGGTTAACTGAGGGTCAACATCTGCTTTTTCCAGCATTAGGTAGGTTTGGGCAGCTTCATTGAATGGAATGAAAACTGTTTCTTTATTTACTCTGATTATATTTGACATCAAACATTTCAGCGTCACAGAAAAAAAGAAGTAAAAACTGAAAAAGAGAAATAGATTTCCAGAGATTTGTTTGTCTGCAGGGAGCTTTTAGAGAGCAGAATAAAAAGTAGACGTTTTCTTCAGATGGGTAATCAGGCAGAACCCTGCTGAGCTTCTCTCCAGGCTGACAGGGAAATGGACCAGGAGGAGGCAGGAACGTCTGCGCCATTATTTAATCTAATAAATTCTTCATATGGTGACATTTCCTCAGCTGGACAATCACTTTGAAATGTCACCACTGTGCCTCCGTCTACTGCGGTTTCTGGGAAACCTTTTTACATTTTGTGGACTGAATCTTCTGACAAGGCTTCAGAGAATTACTGATTCAGTTTGGAAATTAACAGCACAGAGGAATATAAAATGTGGTGTTTCTGGAGGAGAGAGAAAAAGAGAAATGGTCCATAGAACGGAGGGAAGAAGAAGTTTTGCGTCTCATGAATCTTTCAGGAATTGCTGCCAAGTATAATTTATCCCAGTTCCACCAGAGAAATCCCTTTAAAAATGATCGTTATGGGTTGGGGGGTTTTTTCCGGCTGCCAGTCACAGTAGAGGCGGATAAGGCTGGACCCACAGCAAACAATCGACCATAAGATCAGAACCGTATCGAATCTGAAACGCAACGTCAAACGAGGACGCTTCATCTATAAAACGCAACTAGCAGAAAGTCTGGCTGGTTAAAACCATTCGATGTCGAAGCTCTGCTCGTTTGAAACAATACATCCATCGCTTTAATTTATGTTACCCCTTCCCTGTTTAATATAATCCATCACCAGGCTAATCTTTCTTTATTGCACATTTTAATCAGAGCAGCTGTGCAGCTCAGGAGCTCAGCACCAAGTCGTCTGCCTGTTCAGCACATCACTCCACATGGTTTCCTGTTTTGTCATTATAAAGTCGGCTTTCTGAGTCCAACTTCTGGAACCTATATTTCCTTTGCAGATGAAAACATCACTCTACTCTCTGTCATCTCGACTCTGAAATAACTTAAACGTTAAAACAGGAACCTGAAGTCTGTTCCCAGATTCCTGCTCCATGCTTTAACACCCACTGTTTAGAGAAAACGCTTTCTCCATCTAACCTCATAATTCAGACCAATATGGAGCAAAAAACGCAGTAGTATTTATCACTATAGTTAACCCAGGATATTATTTACTTTATTTTACCTGAAGAAAAAATTCATCTATTAATGCTTGGTTTTATATTTAAAAAAAAAAATGTTTTGCCCCTAAGTAGTTGCCATATTGAAATTTCTAAACTGCATTTATTTCAAAATAAATAGAAATGTATGTATATTAAAAATCTGTGACAACATTTATAACGGTCAGTGATAACATGCATCATTAGGAACCAGTTGTAACGGAAACAAGAGCTTGTCAAATGTTCCTAGGTCCACAATGAATGTGTAATAGTGAGGGAATAGTCATGCTATCTTGGCTTATGTACGTAACATAAAGGGTTGGTTGCATCTTAGCAACTATGGGCATCAAGAGGTTAAGGGGGAGTAAAGGTGAACTCATCCACACAGAGGGCCTGGTTTTCACTGGAATGAAGATGAAGCTAAAAACAATGACTGAATCAGTGGAAGGACATGAGGAGGTGAAGGAGCAGATGATGAGAAGCAGCAGGAAGAATGGAAAAATCTAACATTCCTGAAGAAGAGCATCATAGTACAAGCTGAGAAACATCTCAAACTTTTATTTTTTTACTATAACACAAGAATAAAAAAAAAACATCATGAAGAATTAAATGCTCCTATAATTAAATGGATAGCTGAGCTTTGTGTGAAAATGTCTGCTTCCACAGAGAGAAGTGAAAAAAGAACCTTTTGCTTTTCATGTCTTGTTTTACATAATATGTAGACTGGACCTTATTATTAAACACAAACAGGATTCCTACAACATAAGGCAAGTTAAATTCAAGACTTTTTAAGACTTTTTTTGTCCCTTGAAATAAAACTTTAAGCCCAACTTCCCAATAAACACAAGAAAACCTGGTTGCAACAAATTTAACCTGATGCTTATTTTAGAATGAACCATAACTTTATAGCCCAGTAGAAATGTTTACACTTTTGAGAAACTTTCCATATAGGAAGAAAGCTAAAAACACACTAATAACAGATATATTTTAACAACTAATGAAGGGAATTCACAAACGTTGTTTTGATCCCTACTCAAAGTCCATAATAGCTCTGCTTTTATTATAGGTGAACCACCAAAAATTATCCGGAGATTTGGTGCTACTGGAGCTTTTTTTGACATCAGAGATGGCTGTAGAGGCCTTGCAGAGACAAGGGTGGAACAGAACTGAGAAAAAGGGAGAAATAATCAAATTCTCTGTAACTTGAATTTGACGTTTTGTTTTTCACTCTTTACATGTCTGACTCCACAGCTTTGATTCCCATCGTGCCGAGCTGGAATGGCTTCTTGCTCAAAATACGCCGTTCCTCATTTACATCACCTGGTACTGTTTTTAGCCATGCAGAAAACTCTCTGCTGGATCGCCAATTTTCATTGAATTTACACTTCCCCACTTTGTCCTGATAAAAAGTTATTGGTGCATCACCCCCAAGGTCTGTTTGCAACATCGTTTTTATTGGTTCTTCTATCAAGATGGCACAAATAACGGTTACAGCTAAGCTGTTCAGTAAATATAAAAAAAAATAATCATGAACTTTTCTAATTTTTTATAGAAATTATGAAAATAAAATCCTATTTATGACTTGATGACAATTTTAAGATTTAGGAAAGACTGACTTGAGACATTTTGATTGCAATTAAGGCCTCATTTTAATAGTGAAGAATTCGATGCCTTTTAAGACTTTTTAAGGATCTGCAGGAACCCTGATAAAGCAAATCAGAGCATTAAACATCTAATCTGCATTTTTTTTCTCCCGAAACATCATTTTGTAAGATTTTATATTGCAAGTTGATTTATTTCCAGAAGCATCTGCATATCTTTTCAATTTCTGCTGAAAGAGAAAACAAAACTAAAACATTTTCCTGATTCTACTAAAGGCTGCTTTATATCGACCATCATTGGTTTAGAATTTAACCTAAACACACGAAAATAACTGTTTGTTTAGCAGCTAAGGGCAGGTTTTCATATTGAGATTCCATATTCCATATCCAGGTCAGGATGTCCAGAGCTCTCAATTCCTTCTAGTATTTCTTTAAGGAGTAAAATTAGACGTTTACAATGAATATATGGAAGAAAAGTCTACGGGATTCCTGCTTTAACATGCAAAGACAGATGGAAGAATGGATGGAGGTACAGTCTGGACATAAATCTATTTTTCCATGTTCTTCTCTCCATTCACATCCAGGGCTTTCTAGATCAACCAGAACTGTGAGTATTTTTGTTCCACTTCATGTCTGGTGAATCTGCAGTGTGATCGCAGTAGAGAAGCATCCACCCTGTGTTTTTGGTAGGACTAAATCTCCTTAACATCAGCTTTCTAAACAAACACGGAGGCGAGCGGCGTGACGGCAGCTTGTTTGTATTTTGGGTCGTGTCACTTCTCATTAGAGTCTACTGAATGTGTTTTGCTGCAGGGAATCTCAAGCTGTAACTGATGGCATTTCTGCATTATGAGGGACAAGGAGAAAATCACTTCCGTCAGGGACAAACACCACCACCTGCAATCCATCAAGCCTCATCTGACTTCCTGTCTTTATTATTTCTTCTTCCAACCTCTCACTGGTGATTTTATACATTTTGATGCTACTCTTATTTTAAATTTTTCCCGCCTATTTCCTCCATAATTTCTCACCAAAGCCAGCTTTTACTTATATATTTAGAAATGATGATGAGTGTGATGAGATGCAGAGGTGAACTGGACAAATAGTGGCATTAAGGTAATGAAGGTTAGCATAACGTGACTGGTGCTTAATGTGATGTGTGGTGTTTGTGATGAAAACCAGCAGCGCCCCCTCACACACACACCTTCCTTGCCTGGTCATTGTCTTCGATCTGACCCAGGTCCCTGCCGCTGGCCTGAGCGATCCTCTTCCCCGACACCAGATTCCCCACCATCACAGAGGCAGGGCCGATCTCTGGACAGGAAGAAAGAGAGGAGGATGAAAAGAAGGATGGGTTATGCTTGCAGATGCTGGTCTAATAACTTTGGTTTCACAGCTTTTAAATCCTTCATAGTGCTTACAGCTTCCAATGTACCGTATAATCAAATAATATGGTCAACATAATTATATTAATGTTAGTAACGTGACCTTAGAACTTGCAGTGTTCCAACAAGAAACTGACTAACTTTCTAGTAACTTTTAAAGGCTTAAACCTATTGGTTAAGCTATTTTGACACAGCAGATAATTATGCTCAATTCATATTTTCTTTTTTCTGCCCCCCAATTTTTTTTATGTGATCTGTTATACTGTTAACTAGATGCAACACCCCATTATACTTCTGTCTGAACAGTTCAGGTAACAAAGATAGAATTTAGATGTCACAAAGCAGCGGCGATTAAAAATGGATGCAATGGATGCACTTAAAAAAATCAGAGTTAAAGGAAAATACAGACTAAATAAAAAGTAATAGTCGATACCACTATCTCTGTGTTAAAGTATAATGACCATATTGTAAACAAGCAGAAGGAAGATAGGAACACCAACGGCAGTCTTTATTGGAGTAGTAATAGCCTGCTACTGCAGAGAAGTCTGTGTGGATGTATAGTGGCAGCCAGGGCAATGAGGTAAAGGTCAGATAAAAGCATTCACAGCAGGAGCTTAGGAAACTATCAGGGTATATATACAATTTAGTGCCATAGTGGTTAAAATCGGGTTTTCTTTTAGACCAAAAAAACAAAAAAAACAACTTAATGCTATACAGATGAAGTCAGATATAAGATTTATATGCCCAAAAAGATCAGCTTTGGGTCACATTTGCTTGCTGTGTGAATATAGCCCTGCTTTCATGAAAAACGTATGTTGCTTTGAAGTAACATGAGTGTTACACTCATGTTACATTTAGGGAACATTCCTGTTACTTTAGGGAACATTTCTGTTACTTTAGGGAACACCTCTTTTACTTTGGGGAACAGGGAAAGTTCTTGTTACTTTTACAGAACATCCTTTTTACTTTGGGGAACAGGGAAAGTTCTTGTTACTTTTAGGGAACATCCCTTTTAATCTGGGGAACAGGGAATGTTCCTGTTACTTTTAGGGAACATCCCTTTTACTTTGGGGAACAGGGAAAGTTATTGTTACTTTTACAGAACATCCTTTTTACTTTGGGGAACAGGGAAAGTTCTTGTTACTTTTAGGGAACATCCCTTTTAATCTGGGGAACAGGGAATGTTCCTGTTACTTTTAGGGAACATCCCTTTTACTTTGGGGAACAGGGAAAGTTATTGTTACTTTTAGGGAACATTCCTGTTACTTTAGGGAACATCCCTTTTACTTTGGGGAACAGGAAATGTTCCTGTTACTTTTACAGAACATCCCTTTTACTTTGGGGAACAGGAAATGTTCCTGTTACTTTTACAGAACATCATTTTTACTTTGGGGAACAGGGAAAGTTCTTGTTACTTTTAGGGAACTTCCCTCTTAACCTGGGGAACAGGAAATGTTCCTGTTACTTTGAGGGAACATCCCTTTTACTTTGGGGAACAGGGAAAGTTCTTGTTACTTTTACAGAACATCCTTTTTACTTTGGGGAACAGGGAAAGTTCTTGTTACTTTTAGGGAACATCCCTTTTAATCTGGGGAACAGGGAATGTTCCTGTTACTTTTAGGGAACATCCCTTTTACTTTGGGGAACAGGGAAAGTTATTGTTACTTTTAGGGAACATTCCTGTTACTTTAGGGAACATCCCTTTTACTTTGGGGAACAGGAAATGTTCCTGTTACTTTTACAGAACATCCCTTTTACTTTGGGGAACAGGAAATGTTCCTGTTACTTTTACAGAACATCATTTTTACTTTGGGGAACAGGGAAAGTTCTTGTTACTTTTAGGGAACTTCCCTCTTAACCTGGGGAACAGGAAATGTTCCTGTTACTTTGAGGGAACATCCCTTTTACTTTGGGGAAAAGGGAATGTTCCTGTTACTTTTAGGGAACATAGAACATTCCTTTTGCTTTTAGGGAACACCCATGTTACTTTTAGGGAAGATTTGCGTTACTTTCAGGGAACACTCTTGTTTCCTTCAGGGATCACGAATGCCACATGCGTGCTACTTACAGGTAATGCTCCACTCTCTGCCTTTGGGAACATTTGTGACAATTTTTAGGGACCATTCTTGTTCATTTTAAAGCTACAGTGTGTAATTTTCAGCGACATCTACCATCCAGACTGCAGACCGCAGCAACATGAACATCTCCCCCCCAACAGTACGGCGAGCGTTACGGGACAAAATGTCTTCCACGACGTCCGCATCACCTACCTTCTCAAGTGATGAGGTTTGTTTACATAGATAATTTTACAGATAGTATTTCATTAGTCTATGTGTTCAGTACCGTCTCAGTTCATCTCTCTCAACTTGCCGTAGTTAATTTCGAGCGTAATGGGCGATCTCGCAATCGCTAGTTTGTTGGCACTGGATTTAGGGAACATACATTATGTTTTCAGGTAACACTTTATTTTTGGTAACAACCATGTTACTTTCTAGTAACACATAGGTTACCTTTCAAAAACAGCCATGTTACTGTTTTTATAACACTTTTAGCAACTGTCAAAAACCTTCAGGTAACAGGCATGTTACTTCCAGGTTACACTAACGTTACTTTTGAGTAAGACTGAGGTTATTTACTAGCATATTGTTACTTGCAATCTAATATTTTGAGTTGGCAAAATGTCATATCACCATGAATGCTCTCTGTATCTGTACTCTGATAGAAAAGTATACCATTAAAAATTCAATTACATGTTCAAATTTTTTCTCCAGCAAGCTTTACTTGTTATTATAATGAATCTCTGTTGATTCGGTATGGTTTACCTGGCTGCTTCTGCCGGGGTTTGGGTAGGTTGATAACGCAGGTGTGTGGACACATCAGCACATTGCAGGGATGCAGAGCCCCTTCCAGGAAGAGCTGCTTGGTCTCTGAGAGGTGGATGCCACCCAGAGGTGTCTTAGGCAGAGTGTTGGAGGGCACCAGAGCCAGGCAGTACACCCCTACCTGATGGATGCTGTCTATCGCCTGATAATTAGGGTTGGTTAGAAAAAACAAGGTCAGAGGGAAGACAGACAATTTAACTTGAAATAAATTAAAGTAACATTACTAAATAGTAAATAGAGGTGATTTGTGCAGCATCAACAGCAGCCCTGGGATAGTAGTCAGTGTTCAGCTACTTCTGTACACCAACATTCATTTTTCTTATTCATTTACAACTTTAAGCTTCTTTAAATCTGCTTACAACCAGATGAAAAAGAAGAAAAAAAACGTTTTGCATCTTTAGTGGTAAAGAAATAAATGTAAAATGTTAACGTAGCTCCTAAAACTACAGATGGATATTAAAGCATCACCAGTTACCACACGGAATCAGGCATAGCTGGAGATTAAATCAGCTTTCATCTGCTCTGGTACCACAAGGATGAGTTATATATCAAAGAGACTTTCAGTACAAGCAACAGAAAATAATTGTGAAGGAAGGAAGGAAGGAAGGAAGGAAGGAAGGAAGGAAGGAAGGAAGGAAGGAAGGAAGGAAGGAAGGAAGGAAGGAAGGAAGGAAGGAAGGAAGGAAGGAAGGAAGGAAGGAAGGTCAGTTAGAGCCCTGCTGCTTTCAAAGAATCTGACTATTCATTGATCATGTGGTAATATCTTCAAAATATCTTTTAGGAGTGCTAACCTCCCCCGGCCACGTCCTCCTATGCTACATAAATACACATATCATCTAAACACTCTGAAATTAAATGCACATTCCCATTTATAAAGCTTGGACTTTGAAAATATGCATAAAAAGCTAATATAGACTAAATGCACCCTCACTGTAAAAACGACAACTCAAAATTGTTCACCTTACTAAGATTTTTGCCTTCACTGACAATAAAATTGCCAGTTGGAACTTCAACTCTCTTTTGGGAGCCAGTTGAACTCACTTTCATGAGTTTCTGATGAAAAGTTCATCTTATTCTGTAAATTAAGTTGAGTTTACTTAGAAGTTGTAGTTGACACCCAGTCCGAGCGAGGTCAACTTATCTGCACATGCTCATTTCAAATTTGTCATGGCAACCGGCTGCTACGGGGTTTTCATGGATTTTCCATGTAACCATCTGGTCACTCTGCTGGTGGTAACTTTCCCTGAGGACTCGTCCAAGACTAAGGCACTGGTTTCCTGTCATCTCTGGCAATATTGCATTATTTGTAAGGTTTCAACAGGAGTTGGAAAGTAAAAAAATATATGCTGAAACCTGATATGCTTTAAGCATAAGATTACTTGTTTACATTGTGGAATTGTGAACCTGGTTTACTGTCAGGGCTGCACAGTGGCGCAGTGGGTAGCACTGCTGCCTTGCATCAAGAAGGATCTGGGTTCGATTCCTGGCTGGGTTCGATTTCTGCATGGAGTTTGCATGTACTCTGGTTTCCTCCTACAGTCCAAAAACATGACTGTTAGGTTGACTGGCTTCTCTAAATTGTACTGAGTGTGTGCATGAATGATTGTTAGTCCTGTGTGTCTGGCGACCTGTCCAGGGTGTACCCTGCCCCACTTGGGACAAGCATGTTTACTGTCAATGGATGATTTAATGGGGGGGATTTAAACTAAAAAATGTAAGTTATTACAGGGGATGGTAATCTGAACTTAAAATAATAAGTTTTTACACACTTGAAAGTTCCAGTAACTTGAATTAAAAAAACTTAGTTGGCAGAACTTGAAAAACTTTGCTGACACAACTTAATAAGTGTAGTTCTACAAAACTTAAAAAATTAAGTTGATGCCTTCAACTCAAAAATTCTGTGCAGCCGGTTGCCTTGAAATTTTGAGTTGAACTAACTTTTTCGTTTTTACAGTGCTGCAGCTTATATGGTAGAACAACCAAACAAGGAGGATAAAGTGTGCGTTAACCTGCAGAACTCTGCTCATCCACTGGAAACTGTCTTCCTCGGTGGAGTCCGGTCGCTGCTCGGCTACGACCACAATCCTCTCATCATGAAGCACGGTGATAGAAAACACAGCTATCCTGCGGATCACACAGACTGAGTGAGCTTCTATCCTCCACTCGTGTGTTTCTGCAGCACATCTCTCAGCTCCTAACTGGAGCATAACTTCCTGATGGACTGGGAACCATCAGCAGTGAGACGTTCGCCACGTACCTGCCTCTGTAGACAAACTTCATGGGCTCCACAGCTAACGCCGTGGCTACAATATCGTCAGCATTGTGGCGCCGCCCTCCTACCACCATCAGCCCCTCCATCTTCCCAGCGACAAAGATCAAACCAGCAGGTCCGATGAATCCCAGCAGACCGGTTCTGGTGAAGGGAAACTCACTGATGGGCGTCCCGTTGTTGGACACGGGAAACACCTGGCAGGTTTGTTGTAAAGAAAGCCGTGAGGACATGAGGTGAAGACACATCAATTACTGACAGGATAGCGGCCTTTGCACACGTACCTCAAAGGTGTTCTTCGTCATACCAGCCAGACCATAATAGGAGGATCCCGTGGCAACCGTGCAAACACACATCTCTCCGATTTCATCGGTTTTACAGAGCTGAGGAACACCTTCCAGTTTCACGACGCACATTAAAGCTGCACAGAGAATAAAGAATGAGGTCAATGATGATGATAAAGCTGAAGGTTGTGATTATGCATTAAGCTCATTAGATCCGTTTACCTCCAGGCATGACGGAACCCACATCCTGAAGAGTTAGAACAGACAGCTTCTCTTCCGAGTCGACCCGGATGACTCCGTGGCTCAGACCGTGCATGGAGAGCACGCCGCGGCTAGGAGGGGTCACTCCTTCCTCCAACGGTCTGATGGAGAGCAGAGGACCAATCAGAGAGGAGAAGCGGGACGATCAACATGGTTTTTTCTTTAACATCTCTTTAAGTTTACACATTTTATGGTAAAAGGAACAGGAAGGAAGTCATTGCAAAAAAGAACCTTTCTCCATTTAAAATCATAAAAAATTTAAATATGGGGGGGGGGGGTACTTTTTATTTCAGCCAACACAAACACCTAATTATTTAAAAAAGGATTAAATTTAACTGAAAGACTATTTGGTTACCATTTTAAAAAAGCGGTGAATGTTTTTATTATCTTTGATTGGATTTGATTTAGGTTTTATTTGTTTTACGAGTCTGATGGGTTTTAAGTGACTTTTAAAGACAAAATAGGCAGAAAACATACATACAATTATAATTAGAGAGTTTAATTCAAGTAAAAATTTAAAAATTTATTTAACATTTCTAATAAAATGAGAGGAGATTTCATATTGAATGTAGATTTTGCAAAACAACAAAAAAAAAATCAATGTTTTGGGAAGTGTGCCACAATAGAGGGAGAAAAGTGACATACTGTCAAAGTTTCTTTTGAATACAGGAAGTCCAGCTCCAGACGTTTTAGATAGATTACCAAATTTGAATCTTCACCAATATTATTAAAGTAAAAAAACTTTGCATCTCTCCCTCTGTGAGAACGTTGAGCTAAGATCAGGACACAAGGTTGAAGAGGCAGAAACATCGTTGATAAAGATTTAAGGATTGAACTTAAACTGTATTATGTTGTAAAGTACAGCCAACATGGGAGCAACAGCAGCTGTTAGACTCCTGCAGGGTTCAGACAGGAAGGTTTGAATCCCATCAACCAGTAGAACCTGAACAAATCAAACACAGGGAGAGGAAATGTTCTGGAAATACTTTCTACATCTTATTTATTGGATCAAATAAAACATTTAATGGTGCAAACCAACAAAGTTACTTTAGAAGGCGATAAAGCAAGGTTGATTAGTTAAAAATCAGTCACCGCCTGGACTGAAGAAGACCTGCGGTGGTTGCTCTGATTTTAACTGGCACAGATGCAAGGAGGCGCTTCTCTTTTATTAAACGATGGCAGCAGAGTCTGCTTCCCATAGTCGAGGGAGCAAAATGTGTTTACTGATTCAAGGAGAGACTTCATTTGTGCTTTTTGTTTGTCTGGTTAACAAGGGGCCAAAAAACTTTAGACAATAATATTAAAATAGAAATATCACCTCTCCTTTGCTTTGGTGATGAATCATCTTTATATTTTTGATTTTCTAAATACATCATATTAAGGCTGGTAATGATAATAATTAATGAAGTTAAAGAGGACTACTGTTCTGTGTGAAATGTGTGAGGCAACCTCCGTATGGCGACAGTCAAAGCCTCCGGGGAGCTGGCACAGGGACAGATCACCTCCGGCTTTAGACCTTTGGATTGGAAGACGTTGAGGAACGCATCACAGGACGAGATCGACCCTGAGAGACACAAACAGCTTCATTAGGGATTAATGTCCCTCGGTTTTAAAGATCTGCACTGTGTGAAGCAGAAAACCATCAGAAATAAATCCAATTAAAGCTCAGAGCAGTCCAACATGTTCCTACCTAGAAGAGATAAAAAAAGGCATTCTGAACCAACCAATATCATCCGACCGTCTATTTGAGATGAGATTTAAGCCTTTAATAACTTAAATATCTATTATTCTGTGACGTACATGTAAATAAACTCACAAACATTTTTAGGAGCAGCCGTGCCTGAGATTTAGTATTTAAAGGGAATAAAAATGGGTGTGGCCATATTGCTCTACAGCGCCCCTAAACTAAGGGAGATTATTTCATAGATTCAATTTTTATTATGCTGGCAGAGGACCTGCAAAACAAAAGAAAAAAATGGTTTTAGGGGTGTTTTCCACTGATCTCTATTAATTCACTGTATTGCTGATACGCTGGTAGTACAGCGTTAAAGTGAAGCCACCGGTCGCCATATTGGTACTCCCTAGTTAGACTGGTTAGAATGTAAAAATATGTGCGCTATAGCATCAAACAACATTGATGTTCTCATTTCCAGGGAGGCTTAACACTTTTAAAGCAAAGATAAATCCATCACTTTGACACACACCTTCTGTTCTATAGCATCAGTCGATTACTGTGATTTATGATCAAAAAATAAGCACATCACATTTCATATTCAATAAGTCCATGAGGTCTATAAATCATGTAATATAACATATTATACAAATCCATCAAAACAATTAGTGTGTTAATGGAGCATAATAATACTGTAGTCAGATATTAAAAACATCACACACACTATCTGATGATGAGCCAAAAGTGCTAAAATGATGATGTAATTGTAATATACTTGTATTGATTGAACTGTTATGGTAATTACATTGGATTACAGGCATTTTTATGGTCGACTATGTAAGAGTGGAGAGAACCAAGATGGCAACTGGTGATTTCAGGTTTTTCGGCCTATCATGAATCCAGTGAATAAATAGAGAGCAGCAGTGTGTCCTGAAACCAAGAGGAAGTCGGCCATTTTGGGTCTAAGGGTAATTTTTTAAATATAAATATAAATATCTCCTTAAATGACCACATGTAGTGATATTTACACAATAAAATTTTTTTCCTCACACAATAAAGACGTGTAAATAGACCTTTCCCTTGTAAAAATATAAATTCAAACTGCAGATTTAATAAATAAATGTTTATTCAATGGAAAATGTTTTTAATTAGAGGACGTCCTTTTGCCAAAACAGGAAGTGACCACAGCTTCCATGATGAAGCCTGGATTTCAGCCAGATTTTGAAAACTTCTCACCCAACTCTAACTGATCTTTGTTGAAGGTAACCTCACAGTTATGGCACAGCCTCATGGCGACATCAGGACTGAGCAGGTTCATACCTGCTGTTTACACACAGGCCAGAGAAAAGCTGAGGTGCAAGGGCCGTTCAAGCCGCCTTGTTGTTTTAAGTATATTTTCAGTGATCAGTTTCCATTTCTTATATTTTTGGCTCAACTCAATCTGCTCAACAAAGCTCTTGTTGCTGCATAGGTAGCGTGCCTCAGGTCATTGAGAAAGGAAGATTTTGATCTAGAGGGGCCCCAAACGGACAAGCACCTGAGGAGGCCCTTCAAATAAAAACCTCTAGACTTACTCCATCTAATTAGTGTTTAAAGGCACTTTTATGAGCTGACAGCTTTTAAAACGAGCTACAAATGCAGCTCATTACTGCTCTTCCAGCAGCTCCAGCATTTCATGGTCAGAAACTCATCATAAATAATTTAAATGTCATCTCTTTGTTATAATTTGCCTTTTTTCGGGTAAACCAACTAACTGCCAGGTTGAAACTAAGATGCTATTTACTCCCTACAGTTTATATTTAACTCCATGTCAAATATAAACACACGGCAATGAAGACAACCAGCTGCATTCAGTGCAACGTTCTGTAAATATAAAGGATGATGTATAGGAAGGATACACTTCTGAAAGAGGAAGAATAACTATACCAATAATAATTTTTAGAAACATGCAGCATATCTGTAAACACAGAGAGATGGTCTTCTTACAGGGATTGGAACCGTCTGCCACCACCAGCATCCGCAGGGAGCCCAGGTTGACGTCTCGCTGGTCCCGGTGGGCCACCAGGGCCCAGTGCATGTCCCGGGACTTCACACACGCCACCTTTGCTGCGGGAAGAAGATTAAAAGGCTTTAGAAAAATTTTGATGAGAAATAACTTAGAATGTATCCATTAGCTTTCATTAAGAAAGAGCAGAGAGGAGACGGCTAATCATTCAGATAAAACCTCCTGGAAGTTTTTGTGAACAGTGATGTAAAATTAAACAAATGTCTTAATTATTAAATCATAAACAGATGAAGTTAAATGAAAGAAGCATCAGAAACAGGATTTATAGCCTCTTTACTATTACTCAGATGTAGCAATAACAAATTTTCCTCAGTTTTTGTCCTTTTTTGGTAGCAACACAACCAAATGGGTTTCATTTTTCATTTTATACAAACAAAGGGGATTACAGCAAGAAACTAAAACAAGAAAACTTTTTTTTGCTTCTTTTTTTCTCAAAAAAGAAAAATTATAATTTGAACAAAAGGGGAATAACCTTTAAATGTTTTCTACATAAATAAACAATGCCATTAACATTTCCTTGTGATTTTAAACCTGCACCAAAACAAATATTTTTTTTTTTGTCCTTTAGATGCATTTTATGTCCACACTTTGTAATCTCATCCTTTTTTTCTTTTAGAAATATCCGTTTCTGTCTCCTTTTACCTGCTGCTTTTCTGTCTGCTTTGCTGAATTTGTTCATCTAGGCCAAAAACTCTCTGCCAGTATTTTTTAACTCTAGTTAAAGGTGACGTTTTTTCCTGAAGTAATATGCTGTATATGTTGGTAAACTGATTAAATTTAACACTGAAGGCTTCGGTTAATAGTCCAATGAGCCCACGTTAGCAGAAATGATGGATATAACAGCTGTGTCCAGGGTAGTAGGAGTCGGGATAAGAGTAGAAATCACTTCAGTGAGTCAGCTGAGTTGTCAGGGTAGATGGCATGGTCAGGTCATCTGGTTGATGATGGGAATGTCAGAAGAGTCAGATTTGAGGTATATCCACCAGGAAACTAGAAAAAAAAACAAAAAACTTTCTTGTGCGCACCAGTTTGTTCCTCCTGCAAGAAAGTGGTCACTGGAAAGGATCTGCTGCGCATGAGAAACTAACTGGTGTGCACAAGAAAGTATCTGGTGCGCAGGAGAAACTAACTGGTGTGCACAAGAAAGTATCTGTGCGCACGAGAAACTAACTGGTGTGCAGGAGAAAGTATCTGGTGCGCACGAGAAACTAACTGGTGTGCAGGAGAAAGTATCTGGTTCGCACAAGAAACTCTATGGTGTTCAAAAGAAAGAATCTGTTGTGCATGAGAAACTAACTGGTTTGCACAAAAAAGTTTTATTTCTCTCTCTTTTTCAGTGTCCTTTTAGGGGCTCAGTAGGAAAGAATTCACCATAGCAACGTCTCACATATATCAGCATATTTTTGCTGCTTATCACCTAAGAAAGCAACTGTATGGCCAACTTTGGCTTGTTAAGAATTTCTTCAGAAATTTTCTCCTCACCCTTGTTTCATTATTCAAGATTTGAAACAGAAAATTTCTTATTTTGAATTTACCAGATATGTGGCAAAGCATACAGAATATCAATGCAGTTTTTCCCTCTAACCTCGGTGATACAGCCCATACAGCACAATACTACTAGAGGTATAGATGATTAGGACCAGCTTTAAACATATTGAAAATACTCAGTATAAAAGTACAGCATGAAGACAATAGATTAAATGAATGAACCTCTGAACATGACAGGGTTGTTTGAGTTACCTTTAAACTGGCAGACTTTCTGGATCCAGGATAAAGGGTTCACCTTCATGAGGGCGTAGGGAATGCTGATGACATGCATCATGTTCATCACACTCTGAGGGACAGAAGAAGAGATTAAAAGATTTTTCAGGGTGATTCATCTTTCTAAGAATGAAGCTTAAACGAACTCAGTGGACTGGGATCATATTTTATCCTCATTTCCTGTGTTTTCAGAGCAGGAAAGTAAACATTCAAAAATGATATTCACTAATACAAATATTTCTACATAATATTTATATTAATACCATCATTTCTGTATATTTGTGTGCTGTCGGGGTCTTTAACCATCACACCATTGACTCAGTTATTATGATGCCGTTTTACTTTTAAATCTTAGGTTACCAAAAACTAAAACATATTTTCTGCATTTTCGCCCAAATATGGACATTTACACAAAGCATGCCAATATAATGTTCCCTAGGATAACATTTCTTAAGTAAATTTAAGTTAAAGCAGCCCTTCATGAATCAGGTAGATCCATTTAACCTGAGGAGGCAATACACCCACCGACCACTTAATTGGGCACACCTGTCCAACAGCTCGTTAACACTAATTTCCTTCAGCCAAACGCATTGGAGCAACTTAATGCATTGACGCAATAGACATAGTCAAGAAGGTCTGCTGCAGTTCAAAGCAAGTATAAGAATGGGGAAGAAATGTGTTTTAAGTGACTTTGAACGTGGCATTAACGTTGGTGCCAGATGGGGTTTTGGGGTATTTTAAAAAACTCCTGATCTTCCTGTTGATTCCAGGTCAGAGGAGAATGATTACGTTGGTTCAAGCAACTGTAACTCAAATAAGTACTTGGTACTCAGAGGAGCATCTCTGAGTGCCAGAGGGGGGAGATGTGGAGCCATCAAGTCATCTTACTGTCATGTGTTGGTTCTGTCCAGCCACTCATCAGGTGAGTCCAATTACTTCACTGTATAGACCTCACCTGATTCAGTGGCTGGACAGAACGAATATATGACAGAGATGACTTGATGGGTCCACAGCCCCCACCTCTGCTGAATGCACAACGTGCTAAACCTTAAGGCAGGTGGGCAACAGCAGCAGAAGACCACACGGGGTGCCGCTCCTGTCAGCTAAGAAAAGGAAACTGAGTCTTAAATTTGCAAAGGTTCACCATATACGACAACAAATGAATGGAAAAAAGGTTCAGGCTGGTGTTAGTGTTGTAATGGTGTGGCATAATTTGGGGCACTTAGCACCAATTTCAACTCCACAGCTAAGTATTATTGCTGACCATCCCATTATGGCTCAGCTGTTTTCCAACTGGAATATGCTAGTTCCCAACTTTCATAAGACTGTCCCCAACTGGCATAAGTTGGTTCCCAACTGGGATAAGACGGTTCCCGACTGGCATAAGACTGTTCCCCATTGGCATAAGACTGTTCCCCACTGGCATAAGACTGTTCCCGACTGGCATAAGCCGGTTCCCGACTGGCATAAGCTGGTTCCCGACTGGCATAGGCCGGTTGGTTCCCGACTGGCATAACCCTGTTGGTTCCCGACTGGCATAAGCTGGTTGGTTCCCGACTGGCATAACCCAGTTGGTTCCTGACTGGCATAAGCCGGTTCCTGACTTGCATAAGACTGTTCCCGACTGGCATAAGACTGTTCCCAACTGGCATAAGACTGTTCCCAACTGGCATAAGCCGGTTCTCAACTGGCAAAACTGGCACCCCACATGCACTTTTGGATGTCGCTGTCAATCGTAATGCTAGCATGTCAATATGGCCCAGTCTCTATGAGGTCTTTTTCAGCACCTTGTTGAATGTCACGGAGGTTCCCAACTGGCATAAGCCGGTTCCCGACTGGAATAAGCCAGTTCCCGACTGGCACATGCTGGTTCCCGACTGGCATAAGCCGGTTCCCGACTGGCATAAGCTGGTGCCCGACTGGCATAAGCTGGTGCCCGGCTGGCATAGGCTGGTTGGTTCCCGACTGGCATAACCCAGTTGGTTCCCGACTGGTATATGCCGGTTCCCGACTGGCATTAGCCGGTTCCCGACTTGCATAAGACTGTTCCCGACTGGCATAAGCCGGTTCCCAACTGGCAAAACTGGCATCCCACATGCACTTTTGGATGTCGCTGTCAATCGTAATGCTAGCATGTCAATATGGCCCAGACTCTCTGAGGTGTTTTTCAGCACCTTGTTGAATGTCACGAAGGATTGAGGACAGTTCTGATGGAAAAATGGGTTCAAATTGGTACTAGCAAGGTGTACCTAATAAAGTAGCCGGAGAGAATATGTCTGAAAATAGAATGTGTTAAATCTGGAATAAACAAATCTTCTTCATGTTGTATATTTATATGTATATTTAAGGCAGTAGAGAAGGACAGATACGTTTTCTTACAGTCAGGATAGCGTGCCACAGTCCTACATCCTTCTTGAAGTCTAATACATTCACTATGGTTTCAGCTGCAAACAGAAGAAAAAAAACGTCAACTGAAGATTCATGATTGATTAAATTCAATTAAGTTTATTTATATAATGCTAATTCATAACACATGTCCTCTCAAGGCAATTTACAAAGACCATTCAACCAGATCAGGCATATAGATTTGTTTAAAGTCTTCAATAGAAAGAAAAACAAAAACAGACACTTCAGGGAGATATCAGAGTTAATAGGTGTTGGTTTTCTGAGAATAAACAATCATTTTACTGCCTGAACTAAGGCAAGTGTTTCATGTTACCTTCTGTGTATGAGCAGGACTGAGTGAGGGCCTGGCAGTGTGTGAGCATGGCTATCCTCGTCACGGTGACGCCGAGGACACCGCCGTCCTTACAGGTCTTATACTGGAGGGAGGAGGCGTAAGAAAAACAATCAGTTGTTTTGCCATGACCCCAATCACAAAAATAAAACATTTAGAAATGAATCTTTTGGGTATTTTTTGAGTTTAAGTTTAGTAAGGTCTAAATAGTGACCTAAAGTTTTTTTTGTTATATTATATTTTAAAAAGTAACCTGAAACTTTTGCAAATTAGCTTTTATTTATTACTTAAGCAATAATGACACATATAAGCCATAAAAAATAAACTTTGGATTTATGGAGATAACTTTTAGGTTTCAGAAATCAGTAGATGACCCTTCCAGTTCCTCAAACGTGACCTCTTACTTCTTTAACAACATGTAAGTTCTAAAAAGTGGTAAAATCATTCTGTATATCCTATAAAATTGGGAAAAGTGCCAATTGATAAGTAGCTTACTGTAGGTTTTGGGTATTAAAAAAAAAGAAAGAAAAAAAAGACACTTAAGTTTCAGAAAGTGACTTGAAATTTTTAAGGCAAGTAACCTGAGGATTTCTTATGTCTTTACTTGATTAAATGTGACATTAAAAACTAGTCTATAAGTGAATAAACATGTTTCTTTTCTGTTGACACATGCTTATTTAAAACTACAGAATCGTTTCAGGAGAGCCATTTAAAGAAAAAACGAGAGGACACATGTAGCAGAATGAGTCCCACATAAGCAGAGACAAGAAGAGACACTGAGACGGTTCTCTATTTGAACCTATTGTATGGAAAATAATCTGTCAGGAGAAATTTTAGTGAAGATACCTGCTATTCTGTAACCTGGAAGATCTGCATATCAGCCTTATTATCTTTAACTGATCTGCAGAGGAAACATTTTACACCTGTGGTACAATTTCTACCATCCATCTGCAGGTACTTAGGAAACCTATTTTATTACTTAAGTTTTAACCAGATCCCCACTTTTCTTCTTCTGTGTTTCAGGAAATTAGTTCTTCATCTCTACATTTGTCCTCTGTCCTTTTTTATGTTCTATACATTTATTTTACAAAAAATGTCCAATTGTAATTTTTTACTGTTTTCCCAGGTAAAAGAAAATGGAAAAATTGTAAATAATCAGAGGTGAGCAGAATACCCCAAATTGTAGTACAGTAATAGCAGTACTACAATAAGTTAAGAATAATTTGGTAAAAAGGCTACTCAAGTTCTGAGTGTTTGCTGGATCATCACATATGATTTTATGTATAGAAATAATGAAGTCAGACATTATCTGGTATTATAAAGACTAAAATAAATTTTAAATTATAGAGAAATGACATGAATAGGGCTGAAACTAACCATTATTTTGCAAATCGATTAATCAGTCGATTATTTTGTCTATTAATCGTTTAATAATTGGATAGTAAAAAGTTCATTAAAGAAGACTTTTAGGAAATTAAACCAGGTGAAACTCAAACTTTCTACTTGAAGACTTTTAATGGAGCATATTGACAGACATTTTTTTTTTTTTTTAATCTTAAATGCAAAATGTTTGTATATTTTTTTGCAATCTTGGTATAATTACTGCAGGTTCAAAGAGTCTCTATACTCCAGATAACAACAAATCAATTACTAAATTAGTTGACGATTCTTTCAATAATCGATTAATTATTTCAGCCCTAAACATGTTTACAAAATAATATTTTTCTGCTGAAAGAAGCACTTTTCCCAATCCACATTTTTACATATAAAACTCAATCCTTAGTGTGAAAATATATATATATATATATACCAGGATATTACTCAAGTATTGGAAGTAATTAGTCACATGAACAGAAAATTACACCTCAAAGAACATTTTTGTCAAAAGTAAATGTAACTAGTTAGGAACCTTCTCTGTAAATAACTACTAAAAATGCGTGAAGGTTTGGTGTTTCTAACATTTTTATATCACTGTAAATATTTCTTAAATCCATTATCAGGCATTTTGTTTTCATCTGTTAGTTTTTGAATGCAGGTGTTTAATAAAAATATTGACAGCAGTCCTCACAAACCCCTGAGCTGATCTGTGGTAAATTAGTTTCTGCCAGAATGATTGACAGTAAATATTAGCTGTCAGTCAACTTCATCAGTGGGAAGAGAGCCTCTCTGATAACAGAACAGGCAGATTTAAGCAATAAAACTGAAACTATCTCTGATAACTGCTGGGTCACAATAATCTTTTACATTTCAGTCAAAATATGATCAACTCTCTGTAAAAGTCAAACAAAGCACCATTACAGGATGCTAAAAAGGCGATGAATCAGAATGGGATGATATTCTTTGGAAAAAAATGTTTTTAGGCCACAGAAAAAAAGGAAGGTAAAGCCCCAGACAGAAACAGGTCATTTTTCAATCATTCCTCTCCTTTAATCAGGTTCTGTTTCAGCCTCTTTCAATCTGAAATGCAATCAAGGAGAGATTTCTTCTCACTAGAGAAGCAATTACTGAAAAGGACGTCTCCTAGAAATCAAACCGACCAGCCGGGATGATGGCGTTGACCTGCTGAAAGGTTGCATCTCTTTGATCAAAGAAGATGCATATCTGCTGTGATTAAACAGGTGGAAATATCTGCTGTTACCTCGATGTAGGCGGTATCCTGGTTGGCATCCTTGATCTGGGGGAACCAGTCTCTGGGCGGCTTGCAGAGGTGTTTGGACTCTGGGACAAACCACAGAACCTTGGGCCAACCTGGACACAAAGAGACCAGGACAGGAAAGACACAAGCTTTACTTCATTTAAACTGTTCATTCTTAAACTGATTCTCCTGCTGAAAGGAGGAATCATGCTGATGACTGGTCCTGGTAGGAAGGCGTGCTGCTCACTCAGCGCTGAGAGGTTACAGGGTGTAAAACACTGAACAAAAAACTCCTGATTCCCACTAATGTCTGAATTACTGCCGATGGATGGGAGACAGAAGAAAGCATCAGATGAGTGACTGAGAGGAGCTTAAAGCTGATCGATAGGAGAAGCACTTTGCTTTAATGAGCGCCACGCTGACAATCTTAAATCTGCTGGCATCATGTTTCTATTTATAAACCCATTACTGCAAAGCAAAGCGTGCTTATTTATCAGGGAGAGATTTCTCTCCCTGCTGCTCTCTGGACTGATGGTGGGTTTTTCTATCGATCTGCATCCCTCTGAGTTTCTCCACATCATCGTCCTCCATCCTTCAGCCTGGCTGCCTGCTGTCTAAACCCAGCTTTTTTCTCTGTCAGGCTAATTTCCTCAAAGCTGATTCTATCAGAGCCATTTATTCCATTTATAACAAATAATCTTTTTTAATTAAAACTACTTAGACCAGACAGATTGTGAAGCTCTTCACTATTTTTTTTTCTAGTAAAGTAACTTTAATAGTCTATTATTAATAATTGTCATAATTAATATTGATAAAATATATTTAAAACTAGATATTTTGTTCTTTTATATATTTGTATGCATTTCTTAACTTTAGCAATAAATAAACTTATAAGGCTCCAATGGTATGTTTTCTAGGATGTCATATAATGAATTTTAAATGTTGGAAAGCTCCATTAGTGAAAAACAGAGAGAGAAGGAATAAACAATTTCTAATTAGCTTGGAAGCTAAATGTTGCATCATAATAAAACAGAAGATGCATTAGCGCTACTGTTTACTCAGATGCGTTAAATGGCTCCTCTATGATCCCTGTTGATGTCTTTCCACTGCTGGGCAGTTTAAACATTAACAAGGGCCGGTTCTGGTCTGTAAATTCAAACTCTTATTAACTGTAAATAAATGAATCAATGTTCACAGTTCAAGAACCTTAAAATAACTTGACGCAAAATGATCTTGTTGGCATAATGAAGCAGTCAAGCTAGTGTCTGCTTAATGAAACTGGGCGGATGCCAGAATAAGAAATCATTAGAAAGAGAAGAAAATTAGATTTCTAGAAAGGAGAATTGTTTTTATTCAACTGCTACCATATTGTCCTTTTCTATTAAATTAAAAAATAAAGACGATTAAACAGACTAGAGACTCTTATTTTGATTGTGTTCTTAATTATGTGGCAGTCTGAACTGATAATTAAAAAAACATTTAAGCACCAATAAAAGCTGTAAAACAACAGGAAAAGATCAATAAATAAAACATCATTTAATCAGTTGGGTTATTTTTTAGCTTTGATGCTTAGTGTAGCATAAACACGACTGGAGAGGCAGAAGGAGGAGCTGTTTGGCTGCCAGACATGTTTTCAAAGAGAGATCTGAAGACTCTTGAAATAACAGAAAAAAAAAATCCTTTTATTGTCTTAAGAACATTAATGAGAGTTTCACGCCTGCTGAGGTCTGCAGAGGTGGGAGATCAGTTAAACATTCAAAAAACACAAATTAACTCTCAGGGGATGTTTGAAAAAAAGGAGGAAATCAATGATATCACTACAGAAACTAGTATAAAATGACCCCATCAAAATTAAAATGTGACATAATGCGTAATAAGATTACCAATTATCAATCGGGTTTATCATCTTATTATAATCTGTTTCTTTGTTGTGTTCCTATATATATATATATATATATATATATATATATATATATATATATATATATATATATATATATATATATATATATATTCTATTTAATATAATCAAAAATAACTAAGTTCATGATATTAATTTTTTTGCTTCTGAAAGGCAAAAACATCTAAAGTTAGAACAGAAGAAGCTCAGCCTGTTGTAGTTTAATGATTCTTTAATAAAATGCTGACTCAGCTTTTCGTTCACCTCACTCCACACTTTTCAGTTGTCTTACATTGTTGATGAAGAGTTTATTCAGTATGTAGTTCTGCTGTATTTTCAACACTAGTTCAGATGTAACGCTGACAGATATGACTTCATGTTTGCATGGACAGAAAAGTCCCAGTGAAAGGTTTCGGGAGCCTGACCTTTGAACTGTGGGATCTCTCCGGTGGGACTTTTGGGTAGGCCTTTATGGCAGGCGTCGCTGGTCAGAGCCACGGTGACGCCGCAGCTCCCTAGCAGGAAGCCGATCTGCTGACTGCCGGCGTCCTGCAAACACAAAGACAGCAGAGGCTGAGAAACCAGACTGATGAAGATGAGCTTCCTGCTGAAGATCAGCTGTACTGGAGCAATGGGAGCATGGAAATCCTTCCTTATCGCCACTTACTACAATAACAGCAGCAGGTTAATTTAATTTACACTGCTTATTTTTAAAATATTTTAAGGAATTAATTCCCAATAAGTTGGACTGTTTTTAAAAATGTGAATCTATTTATTGGCTAAAAGCTCCTATCTGAAATTATTGAACTATCATCTCCAGAAAATAAAATGTCTCTTTTCTTTTTGCTTTCTACCTTTTTCACTTTGTTTCTGCAAATTAGGGGGGCTTATGTTTCCTACTAGGAAAAACGACTTGAAATCTTTCGGAAATAAAACCCTGAATGAAGTAAGGTTCAGCTTTGTTTAAAAAAAATAATAATATTAATATTTTCTCTTCTTTTTTTCTACAAAAAATCTGTTCAGTTTTTTTTCTGAAATTTTTGGTTCATTTTAACAGATAGAATAATAAATAATCATTACCTTCCTGGTCAGCGGTACCTCTATCGGCACGGGGACGACCTCAGCCAGCAGGCAGCCGTAGAAAGCCGTCATGAAGGCACCAGGGTCGTTGTTGGGGAAGACCAGCGCCACCTATGGACATACAAACTAAGTTATCACAGAGAGACTAGTTAAACACAAAAACTGATTAAGTGTTAGATTTAAGGCTTAGTTGCTTTTAGGTGCCACCTTTTGTTAGGTGGTTTTATTGTAACACGACCACTAGAAAAATATGCTGGTCATAGTTACTCCAAAAAACATAAAAAAGTTAAATAAATAAATAGCATCAGGAATAGTGTTCAGTTCGATCATTTATACAGTATAAAGCCTCAAACTAAACGCTATTCCTGACATTTTGAATTGAAAAAGCTTCCTGGACAGAAAGCGAAATGTCTTTAAACCTGGAAACAAAGTCCAGTGGATTGTTTTTAACTTAATTTTTTTGGACCACTAGAAAAGGAGTAGCATTTATTATTATTAATTAAAAAGAAATAATATACCTTTATTTAAACCAGGAAAACAAATATATCATAGCCAAAGCATCTTGACATTAAATAGCTTTTGGAAAAGTTCAAACTTCTCCCACACCTTCATATAATTAAACTATGAACTGTATGCATCTGTAATAACATGCATATAGCACTATATATTGTATATTTCATCAGCAATTGAAATAAACAATCATTTGAAAATTTCGAAATATTTCTTTCCATCCTTTTTTTTAAACATATATTTGGTTTATGTTGCTAATTGCTGAACAAAGTCCCTTCATGGCTTGACATGCATGCAAATCCTTTTCATTGTTTCGTGTTTTTATTTATATCCCCCCTTTAATCATAATCATCCTTCTCTTTCTGTGAACATTTCCTAAATGTTCTTTGACAGCAGATTTTTTTTCCTCCCCTCAGACTTAAACCGTTTGAACGCGACCAAATCCAGAAACGTTTACATCATTGTATCCTACTTTGTTTATTGGAATAAGCCACTCCTTCCTGATCTGTGAGCTTTTTACACGCTTTCTTGTTCTACAGGATTTCATTGATTGGAAACAGATTGTTATCCCCCATTGCCTCTCATATAGAGACACATGTGGACCTTATAATTGTCTACATGAGCTATCAAGCACACAGGACATGAACATATCTACAGTTAACATGCTTCTAGACCCCAGTGGGGATGTAATCTCTGCCTTTATTGGATCCAGTTCAGCTCCAGTTGCCCATTGTGACATTACCAGGAAACCCTGTTAAAGTGCTGTTTAATAGCTTTTATACACATTACTAAAGTAGATCTATCCAGTGTGTGCTATAGGCTAAGTGCAGCGGAATGAACGGGAGCCTTGTAATGAGGCTTTAACAGATGTAATATTGATATTTGCAGGTCTCGCTGGAGCTCATCAGGCTTCATCTGCAGTTCGCTGCAAAGACAGGAAGCATCAGAAGACAACTGCTGCATGAGTGTAAAGATTTTTCTTTACGAGATTCTGAATGGCTGCTTTGTTTATCATTTATTGGACAAAGAGAATCAGCTCTGCAGAGGAGCAGGCCTACAGATGGGTTCACCTCTGAATCTGTTTTACACCATCACTCCAACCAGAGTAATGGTATTAAAAGCTTTTTGCTTTTGAAAAGTAAAAATGTGAAGGAAAGGACAATAGATGCATTATTAATTCATCCTTTATCCTTTCAAACACTGAAGCTCGCTTTGTAAGAATATGTGATCATTTTATCTGCCAACTCTGTGCTCTAAAGGCTTTAAATTATTCTCTTAAGATTTATTCACTGAGATTCAGATACATAACTGTTCATCGGGACTATGAGTTGGAGCTGCAAGTCAAAATATGTCTATAGCGGCTATAGGTTAGTAATATAATAATAATAATAAAAAAAATAATAATAATAATAATAAGAATAATAACTATATATAATAAACAACTATAAAGATAATATACAGTATGTTTTTTTTTTTTTACTTTTCCTAGAGTTTCAGGGTTTTATCTATGGTCCTTTAATATTTAGAGAGTGTCACCCTCATTCTTGGTTCTCTACATGATCACAATGAAATATATGGAGGACCTAACATATAAAAAAAATAGTTTCAAAGGCTAAGTGACAGACGGACATTTTGAGAACCAGACTCTGGGAGGGTTTTAGTTGCAGTTTGTTTGCGGAACTTTCCCTATGAAGTTTAGTCTTTAACAGGTAAAATTTAGGATCACTTGGGTTAAGATAAGGTGACTTTTTCCAATCCTGTGAATATTCTAACTTTATGACACCCATAAATTAGTTTTTATTTAGTCATTATCATCAAAAATACAAGAAAAAAGGCTTGAAATTTTTAATTCTTTGTGCAAATTTACACATAATAAATCAATTGACCTAAATGTAGTGAAAACAAAACAAAAAAATAATAATATTCTATTATATGGATCTGGATGTATGTTGAGTCCAAATGTTTTATATGTTGTTTCCAGAAGAAAAAAACAATCCTTAAACAATCCGACTGGAGTGGATTATTGCATATAAGGAGCATAAGCGATATCAGATGGTGATATGTTGTCTAAACACTTCAGAGAGATAATTATAATATTTTTCAGCAAAACACATTTGCAGAGAAAGAGAATTAAATTACAAATGGAGAATAAGTGAATTAGTTAAACTGCAATAAACGCCACACATGAAATTGTATGTTTCCCAACATAAACAATGTCAGCTTCTTAGCATTTAAATCTCATTCATGTAAACATCTTTGTAAATTAGATTTTTTCCCCCAGTCCAACATGTTCAAGGATAGAAAGACTGTTCTGTAATTCTCACTCAGCAAGAGTGGAGAAATCTGAGGAGTTATAATCAAAACACACAGTCCTGTGGCTAAGATGCTGTATTACCCAGCATTGTATCAGCCTTGACTCGTTTTCCAGCTGAACTGGAGATCAAACCTAAAATAAAAATGAAACGGATACCACAGAGACACTAGGACGGCGCGTGACATCAGAGACATGCGGCGCTGCTGCTGAAGCCTTTTCCACTTCAGTTTGAAGATCTTTTCATGTTCTGAGCAACAAATTTACAGGTCCACAGTGGAAAGAGGCAATAATGACAGAGGAAAGGGGGGCTGTTGGCTGAGAATCGTTCATTTGGTGCGTTTGTTTTATAACAGCACAAAACAGAAAGGCCAAGAAATTCAACCAAGATGCACTGCAAGTTCTCACAATCTGAAGAACGCAACAGGGGAGAGGTGAGGCGAGCTGTTTCCAGGATGTGCTAAAGAGGTAACTTGAAACATTTTTTAATAGTGTTCTCCTGAAGCTGCATTTTAATTATTTGAAGATGACAACTGTCTCTAAAGAAGAGGGAAAACAAGAAAACTTTCAGACGACCAGTTATTGGCTGCTAATCAAACACATTGATCAGGCAGGTAATTATAACATCTGATCCCTGCAGGGAAACCAAATCAGGCCTGATTGCAGTTTTAGAGTAGATGCATCGGAACAAAGGCCTTGATGGAAATCATTTTCATCATTCTGCTTCATTCTGTCTCTATTTTCCCCTTTCTAAAGTATTTCTGGGATCAATCTCCAACTTGCCATAAACGCCTTTGCTTATAGATGTTGGAGCACGGCCTGTTTTTCAGTGTAGTCCTGTTTCTCTGACTGTGACTAACTAGATGTGCTCTCTTCATCCCCTGAAATTGGAGCTGGCTTGGAGCTTGTCTGCCTGGCTGTGTCTTTCCAGGACAGGGCCTCCTGTGGAGCTGGTTGACAGTTGCCTTTTGTATCTCTGCTTCTTTCTGTATCTCTGATTTTGTCTCCTTGAATCCCAGTCGGCCATAGCAGATGGCCGCTCACACTGAGCCTGTTTCTGCTGGAGGTTTCTTCCTGTTAAAAGGGATTTTTTTCTCCACTGTCGCAACAAGCATGCTTAGTTCGAGGTATTGCCTTCGAATCAATGAGTCGAAGCAATCAACTGGTTTTGCTTAGATAGAAAACTTGACTGTATGATCTGGTGAACTGTAAAGTGCCTTGAGTTTACCTGTGTTGTGAATTGGTGCTATATAAATAAACTGAATTGAAAAGACACCAATGATCTTAGAGAAGCAGATTCTTTGGCCAATCAGTCTAGAAACTGCTATAAAGCTATTGTTATATATTAAAAATAAATAAATACAGCTAATCCTTCCAGGAGTAGACATCCCATCCCCACAAACCTGCACACACTTTACACCAACAAAGCTCAGTTAAAAATCCCAGAAAACTCCTAAAAGCTTCATCACCATTAAGGTTACCGTGATAAATTCTTCATTTGATGATAGAAACAGAAACTGTAATACCTCCCAGTTTGCTTCAGGATCCAGTTCTATACTTCTGCTTCTTTATGCAATTTCAAACTGACTTAGTATTACAAATGGTTAGAAAGTCTGCAATGATCTTTTAGTTGATGACAAAGGGAATTTCAGGGCTACATGTTTGTCTAGTTCAGAAATCAATAAGTTATAAACATATAAGTCTTTTTGTCAGGTTAGATTGAGCTCCTGATCACAATATTCTATTTATTAGGTGGCTTTACTATTACTACTACTTTACTTTATTGTTATTTAATCTTTTGCCTCAATTAAAAAGTGCCTGATGTCTTAAACCTTCAAGCGTTAAGGGACCTTTTTAAAGTTAGATATGGAACGTACTCCCAGCATAATGAAAGCTCAGAGTTAATTTCACAGATGTTGATTCTCAGGCCAGAGGTTTCCAGATGCTATATAAGCTTATTTTTAACTAGTTGGATCCTTTTTCTTCAGTCGCTACTGCTGAAAATCTATGAGCAGCAATGTTTGACTTTGATGGTCAGACTTGTAATCTTAACTTGGTTTTGTGTTTAAACATTTCTTAGAATTGTGCTGAAAGTTTTCTTCTTTCTGAATCAATTCCTTTTAGGCAAAATATGATATTTACATATGAAAAGTGGATATAGTTTACTTTTCTAAGACTCCGTAGGCCTAACTAAGATTGTTGATTACAGACAGGTACCAGGGCCCCTGTAGTAAAGACATAATGCTAAATAAACGTAGGATATACAAGTTATGTATGCTGGCATGGAAACTGTTAATGATAGGTTGCTTAGACCAGTTTTCTATATTTTATTTTAACTTTTAGCAGTTTTATGATAATAATGATGGTAAAATTAAGTTGTTGCACTTTCAGCTTAAGTCGTGTTTAGATCTGATCACAGTTTTCATGTGTTATACCTGAGCTTCCAGAGCTGCAGATAGCTTTTTGGTTCATGTCATTTTTCAAACAATGAACAATTTCCTTGTTTTTATTTGTTTCATTCTTCCGTTTGGTAACATCAATAAAAAGCAATTGTCTCATCCTTGCCCCCAGGTAAATTAGCATGATAAATGCTTCAGAAACTTGCATGTTGAGATAACTCAGACATTTGAACAAAGCAAAGGACCTCTGGAGTAATGTCCTTTATACAGATGAGAGCCGGGTTATAAAAGTTGACATAGAAAGTAAAGCAGGTTATGACCACAAACACTTCTTCTCGCCTCATTTCTCTAAACTCACCCGGTCTCCAGGTCTGACTAGTGGTTCTTGTTTGGTTCCCAGTTTGTGCAGCAGGTTGTAGGCCACCTTCACACTTCTGGACCAAAGTTTACCTGCAAGCAGAACAAAACAAGGTTTTCACTTATAAAAAAAAGTGCGTAATCTATACTAAAAGTGAAAGTACCAAGAACCAAGAAATCTGCCTCTATAGATCATGTGTGCGCTTCAAAGGTTTTTATCCAAAGCCCCACCTCATGCCCCGCCCACTTCACCCCCACATTCAACCATAAATGTTCCATGCAATACAACGCAAGAACATCACTATTTTTAAATGAGCCAGATGATCAAAGCTATTTAATGGTTTCCGATCGCAACCAAGAAAGAAGAAAAAAAAACACCGTTTAATTGAGGTGTTTGGATTTGAGGTGGAAAGAAAGATTAATATACGGTATTTGGTAGACATGTTAAATAAAGAAAAGTATTTTAATGACCCTTTCAGAATCTAATGGACTGATTACATTAACAAGGACATCCAGGCAGCATGGAGTCGACCGCTGACGGTGATATTTCAACTTTATAGATTATTTTGCGATGGTAAGAGTTGACAGAAACTGCAGAGTGGTTAACTGCTTTAATTAATTCATTAATAAAGCAAACAAAACCCCCAATAATCCCGGAAAGCAACATACCTATTAGCTGTACTCTAATTATTTATGGATTATTTTTAATCTTTTGATTACCTGACTGCAAGAAGCCTTTTCCCACTCAAACCTTCTAGGTATACATCAATTGCATATATCTGTGATTAAAGTTCCATATGTAGTGCGTGGTGCTAGTAGGTTGCGACTGCAACCATATGTAGTGAATTTTATGTCTGAGTCACCTGTGTTGCCAGTTTCCCCCTCCCTCCTAAATATGCGTACTCGTCCGATCCGGCTTGTTCAGAGCTGCATTTTTTTTTTTTTTTGAAATCACAACCTTTGTGTGGAAGTCTGCAGAGACAAATTTCAAGCCCCATTTTGTGTGCTTTTAAGCTCCATAAATTAGACTAGAACAGACACAAGTCTGGTTTGATGGGTCATGAATTGCATCTCAAAGGAAGAGCAGTTTGAATTTGATTACTCAGCTTTCTTGATATGAAATAAACCAAACAAGCTTGAAAAATGTCTTAATAATTTGACACATGTATGGAGAGAATATATGCAGTCAAACGTAAGAACCGCAACAAATCAGAAGAAGTCGTGAACCCTGTTGCAGATGTTTGGTGTCTTAATAATTATTTTAAGCTATTATTCTAAAGGTCGAGCAGCTTTAGGTGACACAGGTCAACCCTTCACCTCTCCTGGAAGAGAATGATGAAGGAAATCCTTCCATCTGGAACAAGGTGGATGTCAGAATCATTTCAAAACTCACTCTGAACCACAAACAGTCAATAAACACTGTCAAATCTCTCTGATCAGTTTCAGCTTGCCTGTCAGCTCCAGTCTGCTCCATTCATCAATGCTGCAACTCAAAACAAAGGAATCAATTTCATCCGCTCCCCTTTTTATCCTTTAATTCAAACTGCTTTACACAGATATTATTATGCATGGGCAATCCAGCGTGAAATACTCAGCTTTTGCACGAGATGAGAAGTTTTTTTCCCCCAAGTGTTTGACAGAACTAATGAGTAGCAGATAATGAGATCTTGGAGATTCATGAAGGCAAACAGAGATGGCCACATGTCTCCATGTTTTCATGTTTGAATTATTAACAGAGACAAAAAAAGCTGAAAATTCTCCCCTGTTCATTGCTGCTCTCTTTGTTTCCTGCTTTGATGTTTCACCTTATCTGCCTCTAAAGCATAACAATGACATAACAAAAAAAAGAGGAATATAAAGAGATATATTAAAGACACAATTTGAGAAGTTTTTAAATGCAATGCACTGTCAAATATAACTGTTCAAAGGCTGATTTAATTGAACGGTAACAGTGATCTACAATAATCAACCTGGTCTTGATGTAGGAACAATGCAAACACAGGGTGAAATAGAACAAATCACGAGTCCTGATTGTCCAATTAGTGACCCTAACGGCCAAACTAGTGCGTTTGTTCTGAATGCAGTCTACAAACCTGTTAGGACGGATCCACATGGCAAGGTTTTAAAATGCAAAGAGGCCCCACAGAATGATAAAAACATACAGATATAACAAGTTTGGTCTTTCAGTGTGTGATGTACAAACACACGGCGAGCACAGCACTCCACACAGCAACATGCTTCTGTCTGGAAAATTCAAACAAGGGAATTCTCACAAAACCTCCCAATATCAAACATGAGCTCAGAGTGAATGAATACGACCAAAGAGGAACAAGCAAGAGAAATACTGTGTAGAAACACTGCAACAGGAAAAAAAGGTCAGGTCTTCTATTTCCAGCCAGATCTAGAAATCAAACATGGAGAATAGAATAGAATAGAATAGAATAGAATAGAAAATCCCTTTATTGTCCCACAATGGGAAAATTCTAGTGTTTACAGCAGCAAAAGTTTATAGAAAAAAATTGTTGCACAAATGTGGACCTTAGAAAAATTTATAAGAATAACATACTAGTGAAGAGTTAAAAGATAAACAATAAAATACTGTAATGTAAAGTTTTATTTACAAAATAAAAACTGTGCATCTGGATAATATATAACCAATATCCAGCTATGAACATTTTTACAGCAATGGATACTTGAAAATAGCAGCAACATCAGAGATGTGAAAAATGACAGCAATCATCATGAATGTAACAACTTATTGAGGTTGTTGGGAACAGTGGTGGTTATAAAGTCTTACAGCTGCTGTGATAACGCTCCCTGGAAGCAGCATTTCGTTCCTAAGCTCCACTTATCTGGAAAAAAACTTCCAGAAGGCAGTAAAGAGCTGAAAGCCTGAGTTCTTTTCCGTCAAAGTTAAAAACCCCTTTTGTTTGTTAAGTAAATGTGAATCCCTTTATTTTCCCACGATAGGAAAATTCACTCTCTGCATTTAACCCATCCCCTTGGGGAGCAGTGGGCTGCCATTGTGTGGTGCCCGGGGAGCAGTCCGGGCTAAAGGGTCTTGCTAAGGGACTGGGAGTGGCAGTCTGCAGGCGAGACTTGAACTCAGAACCTCTGGGACCCAATCGCAACGCTCTAACTACTGGGCCAAACTCTCCAGAACTGTTAAACTGTAAAATGATGGATTATCAGTTTAAAGTTGTGATCCAACTGTTTTATTTGATATCCTTCCTGCTTTCATCATGTTTTTATCTTCATTTTCTTTTATTCTGCTTTTATTTTCCTTCTACTTGATCTTTGTCTTGTGCCATGTAAATAAACTTCTCCTGCCTTACATGATCAAACATAACTTGGCTTTTCTGATGAAGGAATTAATCTAAAGGGGTAAATGTAGTCTTTTCTTTACAAATAACTGCATAACTTCTCAATCTGCTGGTCCAAAGTGGTTCCAAACCAGGCTGGTCAATGTGCAGGCCTGCCAGCTGCTTTCAGGAGAAGCTACAGGTCTACTGCCCCTAGTGGCTAAAAGTTACACAGTGTGGCTTGTTTCAATTATTAACTTTCTGATAAACATCCAAGAGAAACTGAACTCTGGATTCCTCTGAACTATTTTTTTTCTGTGAATCAAAGTATAGATCTCTCTCCTGGCTGTTATGAGAGGTTATCTGCAGTGCAGCGTCAATGAACTTTTAAGGACAGCAGGAGATGTGGGCATCATGAATTCCGTCTGTTCTCCTGCGGCGGAGGAGAACCCGGCAGGAAGAAACGAAACAAGTTTGTCTTTGTGGGCCGACATCAAACACGAAACATGACAGGAATCAAAGATAAAGAGGAGATACAAACTGAGGGAGAGAAAAGAGGAGATTTAAATTCAGCACGGCACGTCAAACACAAACCTGCCACGCTAATACCTCACCGTGTTTCTGCCTCTGGTGGCCGACTCCTGAACGCAGGCTGAGGACATTTCACAGTCTGGTGAGCGCTCATATCGTCTCATCTACAGCGAGATCACTCCTCTCACATCAGTCACACCGACAAAAAACTGAACGGCTGCTTAGAGAAAACTACGGTGATGGAGCTGCTGTCTGTTTATCCTCTGGGACCAGGACTGGCACAAACTCTGGATGTACACGGGAAATATCTGCCAAGTTATTTTTTTTAATCTAAAACTCTGTGCTACAGTAGTGAGATCTACAGTGATTCACCAACAGGTGCAAATCTTATGAAAAATGGGAAATTTCCTGCAAAAAACACAAATGATTCAAATTTATAGTCAGGATTCTGCCAAAAGTTCATACACACAATAAATACACTTACAAGCAGCTTTATTTCATACAGGTACTCATAAACTACTCCTCACATGCTTGTTTAACACGTTACATATGCAGATAGAGTGTCAATGGTCCCCAATATATCACACATGAGTGATTGTTCCTTCTCTGTTTTAGGAGTTGCAGCAATGAGCTTAAATGAAACAAACAAAAAAAATGAATCTATTTTTAAAATGTAAGGACTAGAGGTAAAAAGTTGTCTAAAAAATAATCACTCCAGTAAAGTATAGATAGGCAAAATTTATACTTAAGATTAAAAAAGTATTTGTACTTTGTTAGGACAGGTCCTAACTATGTTTTAGGGGTTGCAGCAATCCCCTCACATATATTAATTGCTTGAATCATATCAGTAACAACTAGAGGGATATTCTGGTAGAAACAAAAAGCGATTAACTGAAAGATTTTTTATGTTTTTATTATTATTTTTGGTTTGTTAAATCCAGGACACCTTTATTGCTTCAATATAATTAACTTTCAAAACAGAAATTCATTTATTTCATTTAAATAATGGTTTAGTTTAAAAAATATGGCAAAATTTGTAAAAAAAAAAAAAAAAAAAAAAAAGATGTCACACACTTATTTCATATCTATCGCTGAAATAGGGTTAAGTTATATTTAAATGTTTAAATAAAACCAATGAGTTATTATGCTCTATAATTATTGGGGAAATAAATAGCTAGACTTGGAGGTTCCACTTAAAATAAAATGGAAATCCTGCAGCCATGCAGCTTTTCTTCTAATATTGAGCTCTGATTGAAGCTGATGAAACACTTTTCTTTATGTTTTTTTTTTGTATTCCGTTCAACCCTGTGTGATGATCTGTGCTATGCTGTGATCTATCTGAGGTCCTCCCAGGATCATTTCATCCACTCTGCAGCTCAGCAGGAAGGTGGGACTCTAAATTCATGAGGACCTGGAACCCAGCAGCCCGGTTCACAGCAGCTAAATGTCTTTATTTATGGCCTTGGGACCTGGAGCCGTTTTCTCTGTGCTTCTTCAATAAACCTCTCCGTCTCCAGGCTGCAGAACAAAAAAAAATCAGTTTCAATCTGTGTATGGGTTTAACTGCAGCAGCGAACCTGGGAGGAGGACCTAATGTGATTCGACTGGAATAAATGAATTTAGAAATCTCAACCTGTGGCTGAGCTGCAGGTGAGCTTCTGATGTATGTTCATGTTATCCCTTTAAATGACTGTAGGATGGCTGCTAAAGGCATCTTTAGGCCATGTTGGTGCTGAACTAGATTAGAGATTGAACGTGAATGCAACCTCTTCACTTTTTTTGAAAAAAAAAAAAAAAGTTATCACCTGAAAGCTTTTAATATCTGTATTAGATATTTACAGCAAAGTACGAGTTTCAAAAACGAAACTTTGAAAATTTCTCAAACTTCTCAAACAAAGGATATGAGAGTAATTCAAAATGTGAAAGCTAAAGCTGAACCTACGTGTTTTTGTGCTTCGGTTTTGATTTTCCATCACACTTTTTCCCCTGAGTGTCCTGATCTCTTCACGTTTCTTTTTTGCAGATTTAACAGCTAAAAAAAATAAAAGGAACACTCAAATAACACATCCTAGATCTGAATGAAAGAAATATTCTCATTAAATTCTTTGCTCTGTAAAAAGTTAAATGTGCAGACAACACATCATTCAAAAATCTTCAATGAAATCAGATTTATTAACCAACGGAGGTCTGGATTTGGAGTCACACACAGATATAAAGTGCAAAAACACACTACAGGCTTATCCAGTTGTGATGTAATGTCCTTAAAACAGGTCAAAATGAGGCTCAGTATTGTGTGTGGCTGCCGTGTGCCCATATGACCTCCCTACAATGCCTGCGCAGCTCCTGATGAGGTGTTGAATGGTCTCCTGAGGGATATCCTCCCAGTCCTGGACTAAAGCATCCGCCAGTCCTGGTTGGCGGATGCTTGGTGAATGGATTGAGACATGATGTCCCATATGTGCTCAATCGGATTCAGGTGTGGGGAACAGGCGGGCCAGCCCATTGCTTCAATGCCTTCATCTTGCAGGAACTGCTGACAGACTAATGCCACATGACGTCTAGCACCTTCCTGCATTAGGAGGAACCCAGGGCAAACCGCACCAGCATATGGTCTCACAAGGGGTCTGAGGATCTCATCGTGGTACCTAATGTCAGTCAGGCATCCTTTATGGTCAGCAAATGAAGGGTTGTGCGGCCCTCCAACAGAAATGCCACCCCACACCATCACTGACCCACTACCAAACCGGTCATGATTTCTAGGCGTGGTCTATATACATATACTTAAATACTTTTTGGTCTCCCTTTTTTCCTTCCAAGCTCAGGTCCTCTACCAGAGGCCTGGGAGCCTGAGGGACCTGCACAGAATCTTTGCTGATCCTAGAACTGCACTTTTCTGGACTGAGATGTCTGACGTATTTCCAGGGTTCTGCTGTAACCACTCTTCAAGTTTGGGGGTCACTGCACTGAGGGTCCCAATGACCACGGGTACCACTGACGCCTTCACCTTCCCGATTTTCACCAGCTCTTCTCTGAGCCCCTGGTATTTCTCATGTTCCTTTTTCCTCATGTTGCAGTCACTTAGTATTGCTTCATCAACCACAATGGCTTATGTTATATATATATATATATATATATATATATATATATATATATATATATATATATATATATATATATATATATATATATATATATATATATATATATATATATATATATATATATATATATATATATATATATATATATATATATATATGACCAGGGTGTGGCGCAGGCTGGTCATCAATTGAGGCTTTGCTTTGCAGCAGCCACCAAGGCAATGTTCTAGCTTAGGCTTCAAATATTCATATAGAGCCTTTATTATAATTGTGATTTATCATTTCATTTATGTACAATATTCACCCAGCCTGGTTGGAGCTACAAAATCATTGGACACAAATTTACTCACAACCAGCCTCACTGTGTCCCTTAATTCTTCCTTTGTCTGTAGAAAGCATTGACCTTTATAGCTGATTAACTGGCCCTGATGCAAAAAGTTGTTTAGTGTTGTGCTTCACTATGTAAAACTATCTTGCATTTCCACGAGGGCAGAGGAATCTTGCAGTTGTCATCACAACTGTTAACTTCATCGTGCATTGTCAAAAAGTTCTGGGACAGAGACTGACTGTCTGGATTTTAAACCAGTAATTTTTGCAACCTATCTTGGTGCAGCATCCTGCTCTCTAACCACTAGGCCACGACTCCCCATAAGTATGGATAGAAAAAAAAGTATATATATATATATATATATATATATATATGCATATATATATATATATATATATATATATATATATATATATATATATATATGCATATATACATATATATTAGTGCCACTGTTTTTGCGAGCAGGCAGAGACCAATAGAAATGCATATTTTCAATCCCCACTTTAGAGGAAGACAGAACCAAAGAAGTGTTGAGACAAAAACCATACTCAAACTGATCAGTAAAAACTTCACCCCCAAAAATTAAAGCAATAAAGCCATTCGGTTTTGATCTTTTCATATACATCAATAAAATAATAATAAAACTTTTATCTCTAATAGCAAATGTCTTTTTCATTTTTTGCATTATTAGATAAGCAAATCTCTCCATATTCCCTGATCACTGCAGAGGCTGCAATCCCAAGTTTTCATTTACATAAGGCTGGTAGAAACTGCCCAAGGAGACACTTGGCAATTAATTTAAAATGAAGTCTGAAAAACTGGACCTTAACGAGAGAAATAAAACTTAAACTTAAAAAAATAAAGGCTCCCTCCTTCTGTACCCATGCAGTTCTCTTTAAAACATATTTCTCACAGGTTGCTAATGTGCTTAGAGCTCTGCCTGGCTGCCATTAGGGGAATTATGCTCACACAGCGGGTGCTAAACATTGTTTGGTGCTTCATTTAATCAGCTTTGGGGAGAAGCTGCATGTGCTTTCAAGCTGGAAGAAGCTTGCAGCTCCAAGCTGAAGAGTTTTTAGCATTTATTTCTCTACATGACAAACTGGGGACAGTCAGTCAGTTTTATGAGTCAGATCATGCAGGATCATGTGGGATGGAAGATGTTTCCGCCAAACTCTATGAAAATGCTAAAGAGAAAATAACACTAATATTTATTTTAGGGAGCCTCCCTACCGTAGGTGAGCGAGTAAAGCGGCTTGCCGTTGGTGTCCATGGTGGTCAAACAGGGCGCCTTTGGAGAGATGGTGCCCCACCTCTGCAGCGCCGCCTCTAGAGACGGGGGCCAGTTGGTCACCACGCCCAGCTGCTCGCCCCGCATGGCCACCATCTCAGCCCCCTCAGCTTTGGGCAGATTGGGGTCTGGCTGCTGGACTGCAGATAATAAAAGAAGAGGGATGAGTAAAAATGAAATCTTCTATATGAAAGACAAAGATTGTAATAAGTTAGGATATTTTAACGTTTATTGAAATGGATACATAGTAAATTATTCTGCATATAATCAAAACCATAAAAAGGCTCAATTGGATCCATACCCCCATGCCCACTAAAAGTTAAATGTCACTTAGCAAGTCATACAAAAACGTTGAGCTCCTTAGCTGTTTACAGGCATCTGACATTATTCTCTGTGGGTTTTTTACACCAGTGTGTTTCCAGTGACAGACTTTAAACCCACAGGGTCTGAGTTCCAATCATCCAGGTGCTGGTTTGAGAAAAGGCTGAATAATTTGGAGTTAATCTACTTTCAATGCTTCATTGCACTGTTTCTAATGCACCTGGACCGAATAGCAGTAAAGCAGCCCACAGCATGATGCGGTCATTACCGTGCTTAACAGGTTTAAAAGCCTCCGAGCAGCTTGGTCTTTCACTTGGATGACCAGAAAACCCTCATCTGATGTAAAACTGGCTTCAAAACAGACATTGGAGTTCCAGCATGCTGTAGCCTGGATGCTTCATGTAGACCATTGTCCTCTTATCTGAAGCAGACAGTTTGGGTCCTATTACAGACTTTGATGAAGTAGTGGACTATTTAACTGACTTGTGATTTAAACAAAAATTTTTAGAATTTATAAATGCTTAGAAGTTGCGTTACTTTTCCATCTTTTTCAAATGTAAATTTCTTCCTTTGAGCTTCTGTCTAAGTTCCCTGAATTTTCATTGATGTTCTAACTGCTGTTGAAACCAATCACTGCTAGGGGTGTAAATAATAATCGTTTTGTATCGATGCATCGATATGTCCGCAAGAGTATAGATTAATGTTTTTTTTTCCTCCGGTCTATTTTTATCCATTTGCTCCTGGGCGTAATTCTTCCTCCCGTGCTGCGGTGGCGCTAATCCTATTTTGCCCTCCTACCTCGCTTCCTGGTTATACTCTTACAGCAGTGTGTTGCAGAAAGCTTGAAAAAGACATTTTTAAATTATGCTCAGTATTGAAGCGTGGTCTGTGCTACACGCTGTGGGTCTAGATACAGCCGAGGCGGTGAGGAAGTGGGGGCGAGTAGTCTGACGACGGAGGGACATGAGGGCCAAAAAGAGCGGAGATCCAGGTGGAAAAAGGGTCCCAGCTTTCTCGCGCACCTCACTCTTCTAGCGGGTCAAACTTCACGAGTTGTTTTCCGCAATTTCGGTCATAAAAACAAAACAAGCCGACCTCCTGTCTGTGGCACTGTCTGCGGTCAGCTACAATTTGGGAGAGGTGCAGCGGAGCGTCTGTGGAGGGGGCGGGGACGTCTGGAGCCGAGGTATTGAATTGCACTCTTTGCACTGATTATGTGCAGTATTTTTTGATGCAAGGCCTTTCAGAATCTATAACGCTGGGGTATTATTATTTTTCAGTGAATGAGGTTTTCATAGGAATAGGTGGAGTACAACTTTTCTACTTCTGTTATTTGCTGTTGTTTCTAAAAAAAAAAAAAAAAATGCATAACGGTATTACAGCTTTCATTGATTTATTTCAAATATGAAACATTGTCTAGCCTGTAAGGTGTTAAAAAAAATCAACCAATTAATCAAATCGAATCCTATTGTGGTGTATTCTTGAGTATGGAAAATAATGGAATCGTTGGGTCAGGAAATCGACACTGAATTGAATCGCCATGATGGATGTGATTTACACCCCTAATCACTGCTGTCAAATCCAATAAAGACCCACTACCTACTATAATTCATCATGAACTGCCTCAGTCTTAAACATTTCCAGGACCTTAAGCAAAGCTTATTGTGTCTAATTTACACATATATTTGTGGCTGTTAAAAGTAAAAGATGAACAAACGGCATCAAAACCATTAAGAAAAGTAATGCTTTGTTTTTTAAGGACTTTAAGCTACGAGAGAAAAGCAAACTTCTCTCAAATGTTTGGACTAGGAAACAGCTGAGTGATCCAGGAAGCAACCTCTAATCAAGCAAACCACCATGGTGATGAATGTTAACGACACACTGAGCAAAGCCAGTCTTCTTAACATTCACTGTTCAGGCTTAAATTATCAACGAGCTTCTCGCTCAGCAGCGTTTGATGCTGGAAACAGAGGGAAATATTCATCAGCTTTGTCACAGCCCACTTTAGAGAAGACGAACATTTGTTTGAATGGAGTATTTTTCAGCTGCATGTGGCGAAGCAAATGCTGGATGGGAAAAACCACAGAAAGAAGAGGGATCTGGGACCATATTCGTGAATTGAAATATATTTTCGGGGGGAATAAAGGGAAGGCTGTTACCCTCCAGGAGCTCCTCGAAGTCGTCCACAAAGAACTCTCTTAACGGAGGCCGTTTGGGTCTCTTCAGCGTGTTGACGAGTTGTTGTATCTTGGCTGAAACTCTGCTGCTGACTGGAACACCTGCAGGGGACACACATTTGCAGTTGAAACCCTTTTTCTGCAAACCAAGGCTCTGTTTGGTCGATGTAAAAAACATCACAGTTTGTAATTAAATCGTTGAAAATAAACATTAACAAGATCAAGACCTGGAGGAAGAAAGTGGGATTAATATGCCGAGTCATCATCCTACCAGAGGATGAGTTTGTCTCTTATTAATGAGCTATTTACACAGCCATTGTTGTTTCTTATGTTTTGATAATGCAGCAAGTAGAACAGAAAAGAAAATGTCTTTATTGTCCCACAATGTGGAAATTCTGGTGTTAACAGCAGCAAAAAGATTATAGAAAAAATGGCCACACAAATGTGGACCATGGAAAAATGTATAAGAATGATATAACAGTGAAAGGTTAGAATATAAAAAAATAAAATACTGTACTGTAAAGTGTTTTAAAAATATAAAAACTGTGCACCTGGAGAATAAATAACCAATATTCAGCTATGGAAATTTTTACAGTAATGGATATTTGAAAATAGCAGCAACATCAGAGATGTGCAGAATGACAGCAGCATATTATTTAACTGACTAAGATAGAAACGGCAAAATCAGCATGATTTTAACAACTTATTAAATTTTTGGGAACATTGGTGGTTAGAGAGTCTTATAGCTGTTGTGATGAAGCCCCCTGGTGCATTTTTTTTTTTTTTTTGGAGTTCAAGGTTCACGGACACAACTACTGACCTGAACTAAGCCAGGAGCCTCTTGTCTGTCAGGGAGCTGCAGTAGCCAATAGTCTTTCTCCTACTGCTCTGCCACTGAAGGAGCATTTAGCGTAAAAGGTGAGGAAGCTAAGAAAATCACATCATTGTTGGTCCGACTATATGATCCAATTCTGCATTGGACCAAGCATTCCTATGCCAACCCTGACCTACAGCTAGGTTTGCAATTAAAGTCAAATATTTCATATAGCAAAAATATCATATTTCGAAGAAAAAAAAAGTCTCCCCAAACTATGCATGTCAAAATCAAAGCTCTAAGGCTGAATCAGGCCCTTCCTGGAAAATTATCTGGCCCTTAAGGGCCAAACAAGTTATATCAGCAGAACATAGAGATACACCGATATTTCTGAACAATTTTATGTATCAGCATTGACAAATAAAAACATGTGTTTATAGAACATGTATCCATTTGCTATCCATTATTGTTTGTTTATTTCTGTTTCCTTTTTGTTTAAATCGATAATTGTATAACTTTTTTTAATCATTTAAAAAAAAAATTTATTATGTGGAGCAAGAAAAAATAAACTCTGCTTCAAGAATCGACAAAGGTATCAGCAGTAACTTTTGGTGATCGGTCAACTTGGTCAGAAATAATAATCGGTATCAGTATCGGCCTTAAAAAAGGAAAAAAACCTGTATCGGTTGATCTCTAAAATAGAAGCACATGCTCTATGTGTACAAAGTGGCTAACAATGCTAAATAAATAGGAATAAAGAGCAGGGAATGATGTAACAACAGTTTTGTTTATAAAGCAGAACCAGCCCTTTTAAAAACCTGATGATGCTGAAAGCACCAAATTTAAACATTTAAAAATGAGTTTTACATCCCTGATGTAAACCATTCATACAGAGATTAAAAGTCAATTCAATACGAATTGATCCAACTTATCAAATGCAATCAATTTCAGTTTATTGTTCAAGCTGGTTAAAAGTTTTCTATCTAAGGAAACCCAGCTGAGTGCATCAAGTCATTGAATTTGCATGATTCCCTCCTGGATAAGCATTTAGCTACAGTGTATATTCGCTTGTGTTGTTCACTCTGCAGCAATGCATAACACCAAGCATGCATGCAGTGACAGTGGAGAAGAAAAACTCTCTTAACAGGAAGAAACCTCAAGTAGGTTCAGTTTGAGTGGCCATCTGCCGAGGCCGACTGGGGCAGAGAGAGAAAAGACGCAAAAGGAACAAATCTCATCATTACTCATATTAAGCAACCTCTGAGGGTGATGGGGGGGCTTCACTCTCTGAGAGCTGTAAATAAACCGAGAGGGATCCACCAAGTGAGAAATGGAAATCCAGTTTGGATCTTAAAGCTAGGCTGCTTCACTGTTTAAAACCTTAGTTGATTTAAAGCACCAATAATCACAGAAAATAGATCCAAAGGCAAGTACCTCTAATCACAGGAAGAGATGAGGATCTTTTGGTCAAAAAGGTTCATATAAATGACTCCAGTGAAGCCACCTGGATTTTACCAATTACTATCATTTTATCGCCAAAATAAATAAAAAAATAATCCTTTACAGATTCATTTAGCTTTAAAGACAGCAGGAACACTGACAAAATTTATAAAAAACAAAAAGAAGCTAGACACCTTTTCTTAATCACTTGCAGCAAGAAAAAAAAGAAAAAAAATGTTCCTCTTATTGAAACATAAACAGAAAACAGGAAGGTTCATTAACCTCAAAACAAAGAAGCAACAAGTGAAGAAGAGTCAGTGACATTTCTGACTCTATATCAAATTATCTGCCAGTGAAAATCACCACTTTAGTGAGTTCAAATTAGTTTCACTTTATCAAAGTAAAGTTCCTGCACAAAAAAAACTTAGTTTGATACAAAAATAGAAATAAAACCTTTGAGAGAAGCATCTCAATCAGCTCCCATCTGTTATATCTGGCAGCTGATGGACTGAGAGCTGTGTTCAACGTCTAACTGTGCAGAGGCATCGATTGCAGTGCCTGATGTATGACTCCATCAGCTGCTGCTCCAGCTCTCTCCAGAGAAGGAACGATTAAAGGATGGAGCAAAAAGCCGCTGTCTGCAGTCATCCCTGAGGTCTCTGCAGAGAGACACAGAGCCGTCGTTTCTGGACGACTTCGGCTCTCGGTACCTCCCCTCTCCCACCCGCAGCTCTTTTCAGGGTCCTCTCACCGTCTCCGGTCTCCATCAGCTCTGCGTTTCCATATTTAGGGGTCTGCCTCTGGGCTGCATTCCCGCCGCCTGTGGCCCGCTCTACCTGGATCCCGTCTGTTGTGGTGGTGTTGCCTGTGTTGTTGGTGTAGCCGGTCACATCTGGGGGAGCGGAGTGGTTTTCTGAAAGAGACATGAGGAGAAAGGAGGCCTGTAAGCACCAGATCCCAATCAGAACCAAATAGATTGGGCCGATCCACATCTAAGCAGCATGTTCTTAAATCTGCCTTATTTAGAATCTAAAGCGACTTCTCTTAGGGTTTAACTGGAGTTATGTCAGGTAGAAAATATCCGATTCATCACTAAAACAGTTTCATTGAGTCGATACATACTAGGATTCACTCTGGATGCGGCATCCTGCACATCAAAACATCAGCGATTAATGCTTTGAATCCTTTTATTTTTTTCCCACTATCTTAAAACATAAACGGGAAGCATAGAGAACTGGCTCCTACTCGTAATGGATGCACAGTCTTTCAAAACGCTGCATCTCTCCACACACTCACACATGCACAACCACTCATCAGCACGCATACATCCCTGTGGGTTTATAGATGTAAACCAACGTCCAACACGTCGCTAATTAACTGATTGCATTTCCTTTGTAATATACACCAGATCTTTTTTCTTTCCATGTAAACATTTCTGACCTCTGTTCACGGATCTGATAACCAGAGTTCTGCAGCAGCTGCCTACATACAGTGTGCATAGAAATGCCTGCAGTAAACAGGAGACAAACTACCAACATCTATGAGTGGTGACTACTTGGATGTAAAATAATTGCAATCGTGGCTTTTTCAAGCTGCTGTCTATCTTTGTGAAGCAGGAAAAAGACGAATACAAAGTGAATCCAGTAGAACTTTGTATTTCCTACCTGGAATGGGTGACAATAGTTGAATAAACTTTTGGCTCTCAAAATGGTATCAGTGCCCTATTTGTTGATACCGATACTACCAATTTAGAGCTGGATCGGGGCCCTGCTTGATACTGGTATCGGTGCAACACTAGTTAAAAGTGCAAGAATTTTTATTTTAATAAACCTGAATCCATCTATAAACCTCGAAGTCTAACCTGTTATAAATATAAATATCATGCAGGATATTGATTCTTTAACTTTCTATACTTTTAAATTAAGAGAATAATTTTTTTATAAATCAAACAGGTGTGTTTGACAGAGGTGGACAGTAACAAGTTCATTTACTTGAGTAACCTTTGAAAAAAAGAAAGGCACTTTAAGGAATAGTTTTACATCAATGCACTTTTACTGGGGTAAAAATATGTATAAAATAAATATCACTATTCTGACCCGAGTAACATTTTTTTGGCTACTCCATCCAATGTGAGTACTTTCAGTTAATAAAAAAAATCTTTTATATTAGACATGAATGCACCATGCATGTACTGAAGGCTTATTGGTTAAACTCTATTTTCCATCTGAGTCTGCAGTGTTGTTTGTTATTAGAAGGTTGAGCGAAAACACAGCGTACTGATATTCAACCAAGTCTTATTTACTGTAATCGTTGATTCTGTATGTTTTATCACAGATTTTTTTTTCTTTTGAATTATTTTCATTCTACAAAACTTTTCTTTGTGTAATTGTAGTATGTTTGTTTTAATCCTATTCTTTTAAGCACCAGAATTAGCATATCACTTAATATTTTGTTCCATTTTACATCATTTTGTTAAATATTAAATCAGTTGTTATGATCATGAGTAGTAACTCTGTACTTGAGTAACTTTTTGTTTTTAAAATACTTTTTCAATGCTACTTTAGGTAATTTCTTTAATGGCTACTTTTACTTTTACTTGAGTAACAGTAGAATGAAGAATTGCTGCTCTAACTGTAATTCAAATTTTTAGGCACTCTACCGACCTTGGTGTTTGACACAATAAAATAAGCGTACACAGCTTTTGAACATCACAGAGTGTTAATTTGCATATTTTTCATGCAAACACAGACTTTCTTTGCCACTTAAGTTCATTTCAATCCCAGACCTCTTCAGGGAAAACAAGGGCTGGAAAACACTGGTTTGAAGAAGAAAAATCTACATTGAATGGGACTCATCATTAACATTACTGCAGATCCTAAAATAAAACTCTAAAAAAGCATTCTACGACAAGTTTTAACACTTTGGATTTAGTTTCAATCTGTCCTTTAAAGCTGTGGTTGTCAAAGATAAGGTCAGGACCTCCCTTTGGGTTATTAGTATATAGGTTTGGTCAAGAATCTTTCTAAACAAAACTACAAAAATAATTGTTAACGGAATTACTGTTAAAAAGTGAAAAAGAATGAAATAGCGTTCTTCCTTTTTTGGGAGTTGGTAGTGATGTTTTAAATTGTTGCTTTAGAGAATAAACAGCTTCAGTATTGGATGATCATTTTAAAATTAACCCTGAAATGAGTGAAACGTGCAGAAAACATGAACCAGAACCTTCCCTCCCAGCAGGATCCTGCAGTCAGACCACATCAACCGGAACTCCTCCAGTTTAAACTACCTTTAAAAGACCAATTTCTCCGCAGACCCTCAATATTTAGCCCGTTTCGAGCCACATTTTGGATCATCCTCCGCTGTTCTGATGTTTCAAAGCTCCCAGCGAGCCTCGGACTCTGCACATGTTCATCCTTTTTATGAGGCATGAATGCAGCTCAACAGCATCAAACAGTGTTTACCTCTCTGGGCAGGACGCTGCTCACAGTCGCACTGTGAAGCCATGCAAAGATGATTGGATGAATCTAAACTGAAAATCATAAAAGGGTCCAGAAAATGGACGCTGGGTTCTTTCTGCTCTCAGTCAGACTGCTTAGATCTACTAAAATAAATGGACAAGATAGCGATATTCAGCGTACTGATATGTTAATGATACACCTGAAGCGTGCACATCACAGTCAAAGCTTTTTTTCTCTTTTTCACACGTTATTCAGAAGACTAAAGGCTGTTTATTATTTACAGTGGTTAAATTTTGGCATTTAGTGATTTTCAAATGTGGGAAAATATCTTTGATTGCAGGTAAATTGTTCCCTGGAGAGGTTAGAGTGGCTCTTGGAGGGTTTTTTTTTTTATTAAACATCCATTTTCCTGCTGATAATAACAGCTTAGACAGGATCAAGCTTTTAATCTCATTCTGAACATGATTCACAGTAAAAAAGTGGAAAATATGACTATTGCTCATGTCTTTCATTCCAAACCCTAAATTAAAGCTTCAAAGAAATATTCTGCTTCTGCTTTAAATAATTTATATGTTAACTTTCCCCTCACGTACTCCGTTCAATAAGCTGCTCTGCGGCTGCTTCAGATAAGAGCCGCTAAGATCAAACTTCTTGAACCTGTGCAGCTTCACAGCAGGCATGTTCACACCGACACTCAATAATAAGGCAGAATAGTCAATGATACGAAACTAAACTTGAGTTAGACGTATAGTATAATGTTTGTCTCTTTACATTGTCATGCTTAGTGCTGAAATTAATATTTTTTATTACTAAATATTTTCTTTTAAATGCTTTTTTTGCACTAGTTGCCTTTATTTGAAATTATTTATTTGAAACCGACAGGAAATATGGATTTAGAGGAGTTGGGTGAGCCTACAGAGGTCAAAGGTCAGGGACCTCACCTGTGGCAGCCATATTGAGGCCTCCATACATGGGTTGAATGCTTCACCCCTTTATAACTAAAGCATCTCAGTGAATTATTTTTGACCTTAAGGGTTCATAAAACAGCACAGGTTAGCACTGGAATTCACTTTGTTCTCCAAAGGTAAGTTTTAAGTGATAAAAGGATGGATGGATGGATGGATGGATGGATGGATGGATGGATGGATGGATGGATGGATGGATGGATGGATGGATGGATGGATGGATGGATGGATGGATGGATGGATGGATGGATGGATGGATGGATGGATGGATGGATGGTGTCATTATGTGATAAACCATTTTAAGTAACCTTATTCCTGTTTTTATTACAATATTTAGAAATATCTTTGGGATCTATAACCATCCTTCATGACAGGTTGGTCCGGCCTGATTACTGGTTTGAAAGGCAGACTGCTCCATTTTAACCTGTAATAGTGGGGCACAATGAGACTAAAAATGGAAAAGTATGAAGTAGCAAATAGGAGGAGTGACTGCTTCTAGTCAAAGAAATGCAGCAACACATATGGGAGGAAATTCAGTACAATCTAATCCATGGATGTTGGAGAATCAGCTCTTCTGGGTCCAATTTTCATATTGTTAAACTGAATCTATTAAGATGAAAAAATCAGTAAAGCAACTTTAAAACAAAAGGAAACTACAAAAGTAAGTGGTTCATAATTGTATTAAATGAAAATATTTTAGCCAAGACAATCTTAACTCCACTGAAAGGAGAATCTACAGCAGCCCCTGGTTGAAGCTAAAAGCTGCCCGAATGTACAGCTTTTAGATGAGATGCATCCATGTTTAAAAAAGATGACTAAATCAAAGCTCAAACTGATTTGACAGTTTGAGGGAAAACTACAAAGAAACCAGGTAGAGAGATGACTTGCAGGGACGCTGCAGACGGCCAGACAAACGAAACATCTCGTCTGGACCTGAACTGAATACTAACACTGCTGCATGCAGGACAGGCATGCTAATTACTCACATCCAGCCTCTGCAACATCTGGGCTGTTTGTGCAACATGGAGCAGGACAGAAACTCTCTAAAGTCCTGGGTAGTTCATCGGTTTGTGAACATATGTGAGAGGATGAGATGCCGTGCATGCAGCTGCATCAACCTCTGACTGTCTTTGAGATGATGGGAGAAGAAGATTGGTGCTGGCTGGGGAGGAAGATGATGAACGCCTCATTCACTGCTGGAATAGTAATCAACCAGCCTGACTGAGGGACCTTTCTGTCTCCCTATGAAAGTCAAAGTCAGTTTAAACCGGCTTCATAAGGTGGACAAACCGCAGCAAAGACTTTGGCTGACAGTTTTGATGAACTGGCACCACTTTAAAGGAGGGACTCCAAGTTTAATCCCTTAGGAAACAAGAATTGGCTTGATTGGTTGAGTTGGCATAACTGTAGTTTTATACTTTAAAACCTTAACTTAAACTAAGTTAGTAGAGTCTGTAAATTAATAAGAAATTATTAACAATTATGTGATTTAGGTTTAAATCTAGTGGCTTAGTTACAGACCCTGAATAAGATACCTGATCTGTGCATAATATAAACCAGAAATCCACAGGACCTGTGTGACGCCTTCATGGTAGCCATGTTTCCATCCAACTGAAATGCAAACTTTAAGCAAATTTAAAGAAGTAAACAAAAAGGGAATGCGAATTTGTGGTTTTTCCATTTGGTTCAAAGGGAATCTCCATTTGGTTCAGTAGTAGCCTTCAAAATGTCATACTTTTCTTGATTTGTCCTTGGCCGGTCTTCTACAATTCCTTTATAAACATCAATCTTTGTACTAAAATATTCTTTCTGTCATGATTTGTGGACCTTAAGAACTAAAGAGAACAGTCATCTCCTGGTCAGACCCTGTAATTCAATGCAAGGGTAGAGTCAGAGTATAAAATATGCATTGGGGTCACACCAGTGGCTGGAAGTTGGAGGGGATTTAGCTGGGAGTTGGAGGAAAGCGTTTGACTGGGCAGGGCAATTTTGAATGGCTGCTACTGTATATGAGAATAAGGAGATGTTCTGGGAGCAGAAACGTGCAGAATCCCTGGCATCTACTGTAAAAACACCGAACAGAAGCAAAAACAAGAAAACTACTAGCTGTTTTTATAAGATTCTTGTTGATGATCATCAACAATTCACATGGAATTTTTCTTATTCCATGCATCAACAGCTCAATGCTGGAAGGGTTAGCATTGAAATGATTGCTTCCACATTGTTGGAACTCAGACGCCTAGAAACTGAGGGATTAGGGAACAATCATCAGGGAGGAAGGGGAGACTGAGGGCAAGGAAATCAGGGAGAACCACGGAGGGATACGACGTCCACATTTGCTTGAAAGGATGGCACAAGATGGACCAGCTTCCTGGGTTCTCCGATCTCCTACTTACCGGAGCGCCCCGACTTGGAGTTTCCGTTCTGAACCCAACCAGCTGAGTCTGCCTTCCTCCTCCTCTTCAAGGAGAGGTGGCTTAAAAGGCCTGCAGGTGAGGAACAAGAGGGGAGGGCACCTTGAAACAAGGTGTGAGGGAAATGATCTGCTTATAATTACCTCACACAACCCCAGCTCAGTAAAAACATATGGTCCTTTGCAGAGGCGTAGCCAGAACATTTTTATTTTTAAGGGTGGTCAGGCAATAACCGGTGTACACTGAGGGATGGCTGAAAGCAGACAGGCGCAAGAACCTCAGGGTGAATCTTCACTGTTCCAAAAGGAGAATGAACAAGCAGAACATCCATAATTTCTAAATAAAGACTAATTATACTTTCCTACAGCCTTTGCTAACAAATAGATGCATATATTTAAACATCTATGCTGTCTTTATGAAAGGTGTAGTGGAGAAAATTCTTTCAGATTTGAGTTCTGGGGTGAACATCTTATTCACTGTCATTACTTACCTACTTTTATCAATAGTCGTTCTGCATACAATTCATATTTACATGTACCAATATTTATATTAGATTGATTACGGTACTTAAGTTATTTCTAAAGTAGTTATTTATCTGACTTGCAGAGACATAATTTTTACCCCCAAGTCAAAATCTAGTTCTGAAAAGAGCATGAATTCTGTATTTATCATCTTTAATGTACGTATTTTGATGAGCATAATTAACCACCAGACTTTTGTTGTCAAGTAACTGTTAACATATGAAAAAGTGAAATGTTAAATAAGTTAGAACATTCCAAACTGATCATGTTACTGCTGCCAATGTCTGTATTAAAGGGAAAAATGGCAGAGGTGGCCAATGATTGGCTAAGGCAAAGTTGGCTATTGGCTAAAATAACGCAACTCTATTTCTGACATTTTGAATTGAAAAAGATTCCTGGATGGGAAGCGAAATGTATTCAAACTTGGAAACAAAGTCCAGAGGATTTTTTTTTTTATTTATTTTTTTTTTTTTTACTTTTTTGGAATGACTATGACCTGGATGACTGAGAATCTTCACCAGCACCCTCCATAAACCAGACTTTCCTGCTTAATTATTAGATGAATCAGACAGAGGAGCTGATTTTTCCTACATATTAGAATATTCATTATTAGATCAAATCTGATTGTTTGCAAAAGCTTATGACGAAAAATAACGTCTAAAATGGATCACAGACTGCTCTGTTGGTCTACGAGGGTCACTTTCAAAGGATTTTGCCTCATTGGAGAATTGTTCAAACAGAGCAACGAAAGCATGGAATCAGAAAAGCCCACGAGTTATTAAATCGAAGATCCAGACTACCCAGAGACGTTTAGGGGAGCGTTTTTTGGAATGAGAAGAAATGACAAATGTGAATTTCTGGAAGGTGAACATCTTGTTAAATATGATGTTAAAAAAAATAATCATACAGTTTTGGTAAAATAACATAAGACCAGCAGTTAAACATGGCGGTTGTGCTGTGATGGTCGATTTCCAGCTTCAGCTCTTAAAGCTACAGTGTGTAATTTTCAGCGACATCTAGCGGTCAGACTGCAGACTGCAGCAACATGAACGTCTCCCCCCCACCGCTTCTCCCCCCCAACAGTACGGCGAGCGTTACGGGACAAAATGTCTTCCACGACGTCCGCATCACCTACCTTCTCAAGTGATGAGGTTTGTTTACATAGATTATTTTACAGATAGTATTTCATTAGTCTGTGTAGGGTATAGATTTCATGTAGACTTAAGATAATAAATATACCCGTTATTTTTTCTACGTCGTTGTGACGTTTTGGTGAGCTGCTTTGCATGGTGATATAAACAGACGAAGTAATTGTAGTCATTAGTTTAACAGCGAGATTGTGTTCGCTGGAAGAATATATATTCCCCGTTTACAGAGTCCAAGTCTTGTTTGTGGCACGGGGGTTACAAGGCAAGGAAGAGGGAAAGGAAGAGGGCAGAGAGGCCGGGGTGAGCGTGCAGCTGGGGCCAGGCGAGAGAGGGGAGCCAGCGGGGTGAGAGCAGAGGAGGAAAGGCTTGAAGATCTCCAAAGGAGCCGGAGAGAAGTAACCGAGGTATATATCCAGAAAATTATTTTACAGAAAATTACTGAATCATTACCTGTGAAACGTCAGGGACGTTGCTGAATAAGTATACTGGAGAGTAACAGCATCATCACGCAGCATGTTATTGTTTTAGACAGGTCTGAGCATCCTGTACTCCAAAAACTGCAGTGATATTAGACAATTGTGTGTATAGGATTAATTACCTGTCCAAGAGAAAACTGGCAACTTGAGCGTCACTTTGAAAACCCTTTTCCTCCATCAGTGACTTCCATCGTGTAAATGCCGTGCCAATGTTGATCCGTGTTTTTTGTCGTTTCTTGTCACTCTTGCGTTTATTCTCGTCGTGTTTCCGCTTCTTAGATGACGGGGGTTCGGTGTCCGCCGCTTTTCGTTGTGATACAGAGTAGGCATGATCCTCCATTCGTCTGATGTTTGGCCACACAGTGCCAAACAGTTTGCAAAGTCACTCACGCCTGCCGCCTTGTTTACCTTTCTTGTTACCGAGGCGCAGTATACCTGCTTCTTCTTCTTCTTTGGTTTCAGGCAGACTAAACGCTTCTCAGGCATAATACTGCCATCTACTGTTCAGTACCGTCTCAGTTCATCTCTCTCAACTTGCCGTAGTTATTTTCGAGCGTCATGGGAGATCTCGCAATCGCTAGTTTGTTGCCTCTGCGCTGCCGTAGCGCAAAGATGTCAGCCTCCATGGCTGCGAGACCCGCTCCTATGTAATTATAAATACCGAATTCTAAGGCAACGCAAATGTTATGGTTAAAAGGCTGAGCTCATAGGTGATGATAAATAACATAGTTATGTATAATATATTAAATTTCTGAATTTATATGCCTGTAATTATTACACACTGTAGCTTTAAAGAATTTGTAGCAATCAACTGAATCAAGAAAATCCTGAATATGTAACCATCAGTTTATGATATTAAGCTTAACGACGCTTTGGTTATGCAGACAGACAATGATAAAAAAAAAAAAATATTCAGCAAAAATAGAGCGCCAAAATAATGGCCTAACAATCCAAAATACACCTCAAAAGGAGTCACAATTAGTTATTAGATTAAAATTTAGGGGGAATTTGAATTTAAAGGGTAGTTGATATTTAGTCTTTGTTCCCCAAATACTCAATTTATCATATGATTGTATTTCCTCACCTTCAATTTACTGGACAATAAAATGATGACAAGGAAACAAGTTAGTAAGAACAAAAAATCCTACAGAGACCAGTTTCTTTCATTGAAGTAAAAAAAAAAAAAGGCCAGATAGAAGACATTTTCTATGCGTACTTAAAAAAAAAAAAAATCATGTGCAACAGGTCCTGCAGCTTTGACCCAAAATATAAAAACCCTGAACATAAATTCATCTGTAAAGGAAATAAGAAATAAATTTTTGAGGCATAATTCCACACTTTCATAGAGTCTAAAGAACATTCTGTAGGAGAAAACATATAAAGTTAAATAAAAATGTAATACAAGGAAGTGCCAGAGCTCTGCTCTCAGTAAAGCCATCCTTTAAGCCATAAATAAAAGTGAACCTTGAGTCGTTGATCAGTGTTCTGCACTAAACCTCTTCTCTCATAAATCCACAAATTTAAGTGGAGCTCCAAGGTCTGAGGTAGATTGGACAGGATATGAGCGAAGTGGGCAGGAAGAGAACCTCCATGACGCTGACTGGGTTAAAGCATTTCTGCTGCAGGGGCAGATGCCTCCTGGAACTGCTTAGAATTCAGACATAACCTTAATTTGCTCACAGACTCCCTAACACACAGGCTGTTATAATAAACAGACTAGCTGCAGCTATCGGAGGATAATTGTGACGTGAAAATGTCAGAATATTTGGTTACCATGGAGTCAGAAGTGAACGGCACAAACTGTTGGATCTGAACCTAAAGCTTATGGACTGAGTAAGTAAAACTGGTCTGTTCTGTTGAAGCAAAGGGGATCTTAACATCCGGGAATAAGAAACCATCGTAGTTCCCTGTTGATGTCCAAACTCTCTTAGCTTTTATACGACCAATCGGTCATTTATCCTGAAGCCTGATCGAATTGTTAAGCATAGCCTTTAATGATAAAAACTGCAGCATGTCGGTGGAGATGCTTCTCCTCTCCCAACGACCCGCTTGTGCTATTGCTCTGTTCCTAGTTTTACTTTCTTTCCCCAGCTGCCAGACTTTAGCCAGACACAGTTTTAATGGATCTTTCATTCATTTGTTATTTTTAAATAAAACCAGCATTGAAAAAAATAGTAAAAATGTTTTCTTTTTTTTCCAAGGTAGCATATTAAAAGAGACAGTTATTTTTTTTTTATTAATATTTCCCTACTAAATCAAATATAAACAAAATGGATAAATAGCTTGAAAATGTAATTTTTCGATTTCTGCTTTGGGCTCTGAGTTGATCAGTTTTATTAGGCACGTTCAGCGGAAAAATAAAATACACAGGAGCATCTAAGCCCAAAAAACATCCAATGGAAAGCTGGCAAAGTTTTACAGACTTGGTTTGTGTCCAAACATCCAGCCTGACCCCAACCGCTCCATCACTATATAGAGCAAGGACTATAGTGAACTCAGCAAACTGACTGTTTCGACAGATGATCACTATTTTTCACTTCCTGTTGGTCACACCACTCAGTCTCCCTGCATGGTGTCTGTGCAATTTTTTTATTCTATTTCACCCCAAAAAACAATCCCACAATGCTTTGCAAGGAGAGCTCTTGCAAAGAATATCTGCTCCTCTACCGACCATGGATGTAAGCTACTTTTAAATGTTCATGGTGGGAAACTCTGAGTCATCTACTTTTTCATCCACATGACATTCAGATAATTATATAAAATGGAGGAACCATGAATTTTAATTTAATACTAGTATCACTATAAGTAGAAAGTTACATGACTTATTAGTTGTGCTCAGGTGATGGCTAAAAAGGTTTTTGGATATTTTTAATCCAAAATGGGATTTGATTCTGAATCCGATGAATCTGTTTTCTCCACATTTAATT